CCCAACGCGACCACGCGACCCTCCGAGCGCTGCTGCTGTTCTCACAGGTGGGGCCTGTGTGCGGAATGTGGCCCTGCCACTTTCCGGCAACACAACCTGGTCCCTCCAGGGCCTTGCTCTGCACGTGTGCTGCGTGCCGCTCGTTCCAACTCCCGCTGACCCGTGATGATGTTGCAACGTTGATAGTGCGGTTTGTTCCTGGTCACTGGACGTTTTGTTCCGTTAAGCCTGTACTCAGCAACTTTGTTAAATAGAAATTGTGTGCACGGTAGTAATTTGCGGAGTGCATTTGTGTGGGCTGTGTTTTGTTATCATGTGTGAAATGCATAGTCACGGTTTGACACGGAGACTTTCGCGAGCACTTTTACATCCATAATAGAGGTTTTTGGGTTAGATCGCGTAAATATATAAATGTTTTGTTAAAACCCGCCACTACCCGACACAGCCAACTAGTAATGGCTGTCACGTAAACAGAACGTGGCCAATTTGTCACTAGTACAGCACACCGGTGTGTTGGAGAGCAAAGCCACAACATTTACAATCTGAGTACGACGTTTTGCCAGTAATTACAACTAGCTTCATCAGGCGATAGCCAGATTTGTGGCGAAGTCTTACTGTTTTGTTCCTTACATAGAGGCTTAGATGTGGTGACCACGCTTCTGCGCGCTTGCATAATGTGGAGGAGGGGGGGGGTGAATTACTGAGTCAATGTACATTATGCATGTGCATTATGCAGGCCCTTTGAACTTGTCCTTCCTGTTTATTAAGATAGCCCTACCAACGGTAATCCCCGATTGAAGTACGCTGCCCTTTGTAGGCATGCATTTGTAGTGGATTCAACTGAGTCACAGACGTACTCTTTGGAGGCAACACATTTATTAACACCAACACAAAGGGGTAACTGCCCCTTCACCGGATAACAGCCTATGGTGGTGGACCAGCAGGCTAACTACACCCTATGGTGGTGGACCACCAGGCTAACTACACTAATCACACTGTGAGTAGCTACAACGGACAGGACCCCGTCTCGGACGTAGAACGTAGATCTTCAGGATGACAACAGCAACGCTGAACCCCGGTCCCTCTGGGGACCCGGCTTATATCCTCTGTGGCGTGGCTGGCCCCGCCCTTGGCCACGACCACCTCCAATCCTCTAGCAGGATCTCGCCCGGCACGTGACCACCCCTAGCCCCCACGTGGGGCCCCTGTGTTGATTTTACCTGCCACGTGCCTTCCACGGTGAACCAGAGTGCCATGGCCTACATTAACCCCATTCATGGCCGGCACCCTCACACCCCCTCCGATAGGGGACAGCACTGCACGCCGAGCGTGGTGCCACTCAGCGCTCTCCATCAGTGCTCACCGAGCCCCCTCTAGGGCTGGTACTACACCCACATGTACAGCGTGTCCGCGATGGCAATACATCGCACGCCGTGCCTGCTAGAGCCGGCATTACCCAGCGACATCCACTATACCGCCACACTTGTGATGTCCGCGATGGCAATACACATTTAAATAACGTATTATTTGATGATTCGCTTCTACGCAGCACTAAGGCGGTAGCTATCCGAACGGTTAAAGTTATTTTGACTTCTTTAAATTTCGATAGATTCTCTAATTAGTCTTGGCCAGTCGTAGCTAGTTTTGCACAAAACTTCAACGTTATCAAAATAAATTGAGTGTCCTTGTTGGCACGCATGTTTTGTTACTTCTGACAGTTGTATTTGGGAGAACTTATTATTTATCTGTTCTTTTAGTATCGTGCTGATCATTCGTCCTGTTTGCCCAACATAACATTTACCGCACGTGCAGTTAATCTTGTACACACCTTCTGTTGATAGCTTCGGTAATACATGTTTTGTATTTTATGTACCATGCCAAATCTGACTTGGATATTTGTTTTTCCAAACATCTGGCTAGTTTATAAGTTACTACTGCAATTGCTTGGGCAGTTTCACTGCTCTTGTTATTTGATTTGATATTCAATGCCCTGTTGATTTGTGCATCACTGTAACCGTTCATTTGCAGCGCTTCTTTAACATGTTGAATTTAACTTCTCCGACTCTCACCATCTGACACTTTCTTTGCTCGATGAATGAGCGTCTTGATAAGAGCAGATTTCTGTGCGGGGTGATGGTGTGACTCTGCATTCACATAGGCGTCAGTAAGCGTTTTCTTTCAGTAAACACTGTGTTATTTTACCATTTGATTTAGAAATGCATTCAGTGTATCTTTGCCGTGTGGCCAGACCACCAATGTGTCATCCACATATCTAAACCTAGCAGATGGTTTTAGTATGCTTGAAGCTATTGCTTTTGTTTAAAAATCTTCCATGTACAAATTCGTTATCACAGGAGACAAAGGAGAGCCCACTGTTGCTTCTTCCTTTTGTTTATAGAAGGCACCTTGCCACAAGAAGTAGATGTTCTTTAGACAGTGTTCAGCTCGTCTTGGGATATCTTTGGCTAATCCTTTGTTCGTTACCAGAGTGTCGAGTAATTTAATTGACTCGTTGACCAGAACCCTCGTGAACAGGGAGGTCACATCAATACTTACGAGAACATCATTAGGGTTAAGCTTAATATCTTTAATCATATTTCCGAGATGTTCAGAGTTTTTGAAAATGTCCTATCGATGTAGGGCTGTATTTGTTTCGTGCCGTATTGTGCTAATTTGTAAGTGGCAGAGCCGATTGTGCTAACTATGGCTCTTAATGGGACATCAGGTTTGTGAATTTTTGGTAGCCCACAAAGTCTTGGTGGTTTTGATGCCCTTGGGTTTGATCAGGTTTTGCTCTTCCTTGGGAATTGATGACTTGGCAATGATCGCCGTTGTTTTACGTTCCAAGGTGCTGGCTGGGTCTCGTTTAATTTTAACGCAGGTACCTTCATCGAGGAAATCTTTCATTTTATTATCGTTGACCTCACGGGGCATCACAACAGTCGATCGGCCCTTATCAGCAGCAAGAATTTGGATATCTTTGTTTGCTCTCAATTCTCTTCAGACTTTTGCTTCACTGAAGTTAATATTTGTTTTTGTCAATTTGCTGTTCTCAATCGTTTTGGCAACCTCATGACTATCGTTTCTGTGAACCAGGTTTCCACCGCATTCCCATGCGTTTGTAATCTCCCCGTAGTTTCCCTGGTGCTCGTCAGTGAAGGAGCTGGATTATGTGAGTGGGGCCTTGCCTGGCTGTCTGTGGCATTGGCGAATGAATTGTCCTAGTCTGGCTTGCCAGGCCTGGCACCTTAAAAACCCTTTTTTCCCCCATTGGAACCTCATTTGCCAGTAGCAAAATATGATAATTGTTTTTTTACCCTTTTATCTGGCAACAAAGCTGACACCTTTTTTTTACAAGGAGTCATGTTTGCATTGACCACAATACCTGCAGTCGGAATGCAAACAAAAAACACAATTCTGATAATGTATGCACTGTCCTTGAAATTGATTGGTCCACACCCGAGACAGCTTTCTTTAGAGCCTAATCTCACATAGTGTTGGACCAGATGACGCCAAAAGGCGCACAACTCAAGGAAAATGCACTATCAGAGTATGAGAGCTCGGGGTAAGCATTTACACCATTGGAACCTCATTTGCCAGTAGCAAAATATGATAATTGTTTTTTTACCCTTTTATCTGGCAACAAAACTGACACCTTTAACCCTTATCGCCATTGAGGTGAATGCTCGTGGTCTAAGTGGCTTCTTTCTCTATTACTCTTAGTTCTTTCGGTAAAGTCACGTAGGTAAAAAAGTAATTAAAATAAATTTCATGTTTTACCTACGTGACTTTACCGTAGGTGAAAAATGAAATTAATTTTAATTTCATTTTTTATCTACGTGACTTTACCGTAGGTAAAAAATTTAATGAAAATTAATTTCATTTTTACCTACGTGACTTTACCGAAAGAACTAAGAGTATGAATCCTTGCAGTCATGAAAGCTTCAAATCTAGAATTCTTTCTCTATTGCAATGGCACAGTGGCAAGTGCAGCGCGCTATTAACTCAACGACTTGAGTTAAATTCCTGGCCATCGCCGTGAATTGCCAGCAAGGTAGCGTAGTCAAAACACTCATGCCTCAGCAGTATGTATGTTCTTCGTCTTGGTTCTTTCGGTAAAGTCACGTAGAAGGGAAGTAATAAAATAATAAAAATAAAACATAATAAAATAATTTCGATTTAAAGCTTTCGTGTGACTGCAGGGATTCATCTTCTTGGTTCTTTCGGTAAAGTCACGTAGAAGGAAAATAATAAAATAATAAAAATAAACATAATAAAAATCATTCTCACGACGTTTCGGCCACTTGACAGACCTGTTCTCCACCTGAAGACGGCTGCTTGCGTTGTGGCCGAAACGTCGTGAGAATTATTTCATTATGTTTTATTTTTATTATTTTATTATTTTCCTTCTACGTGACTTTACCGAAAGAACCAAGAAGATAATAAAATAAAATAATAATAATAAAACAAAATAATTAAATAATATGGTAATATAATTGAATTAAATACTATTTTTTTATTATTTTATTACTTCCCTTCTACGTGACTTTACCGAAAGAACCAAGAAGATGAATCCCTGCAGTCACGAAAGCTTTAAATCTAAATTATGTATGTTCTTCCCCTATTCTGCATAGGTTTCCTACAAGGTGCTCCGGTTTTCCTCCCATAGCTAAAAGAAACACACAGGCAGTATCACTGAAAAGTTGGATCGCACACAGCAGCATCGCCCCCTATTGCAAAAACTTGTCAGGACTCTTCTGAAAAAGAGTCTTTGGACTCAGTGGGGAGAGGCGGTAGGGAAGAGGGAGTAGTCGTGAGTGTGGCTCCCACTGCCGAGGGGGGTGCTCATTGGAATGATAATGTGAAGGGTTTCTCCTGGAAATCTGTTATTAAGCACTGTGAGGCCTTGTGTGACTGGCACTATATAAAACTGAGTTTTACTTTAGGAGGCATCCATTGCTGTCTCTCGGCGCTGATTGTGGCTCGCTTGTGCCTTGCAGGGAAAGACATCAACAAGGACCTGAAGCTTTACCTGAACCAGCGCTTCCAGAAGGGCTCGGTGGACCACGACCTGCAGCAGACGATCCGCGACAACCTCTACCTGCGCACCGTCCCCTGTGAGCTTCGCACCCCCCCCCACCACCACCACTGTGTATGACACATTTCTGTGACCGTTGTGTGTGTGTGTGTACCCCCACCTCCCCGTGTTTGCGTGAGTGAACCCCCCCCCCCCTGAGTGAACCCCCCCCCCCGTGTGTGTGTGAGTGAACCCCCCCCGTGTTTGTGTGAGTGAACCCCCCCCCCCACCCCGTGTTTGTGTGAGGTGGCTCCGTGCACGGCTCTGAGTCCACGCAGCAGTCGCGCGTCTTCGCTGCCACCGCACACGGTTAGGGAAGGCCCACAGATTCGGCGATTTTAATTTGTATGATTACGTGGTGCAGCCGATCCTACAGGCGGGGTAAATGGTGCCCAGCCAACGGACGACCCGCCCTCGACTCCATCCACTCCCTCCACTGCCCATACAGCACCACAGTCCCCACACCCTCCCCCATACCACTTCCCAGCACCGCTCTCCAATTAACTAACGCATTGTAGATTATCATTAACGTCGTTTGCATTTAAATTTAAGTCTGCGTTACCACGCTGACGGCCACCTCGCATGGTTCTTCCATTGAAAACGCAACATGTTATCGTTTTATTTTGTAGATTTAGATTTGTGATGTAGAGTAAATCCTCCTTATGCACGAGTTCTGGATTCGTGAGTTTCGCATATTCGCAAGTTGCTAAATGCATACTAATTCCCTATTTTTGACCCTCCGAAAATCAGTATTCACTCGTGTACGTAGTGCCAGGCAACCTACACCGGGGAGGTGTGCGCAGAATGTTGTTACATTTGAAACTTTCTGGGAAAATGAGGCACGCTACCCTCGGCTGCCAACTTTGTTCTCAGTCGCGCAGTGATCCCGCTCTGAACTCACATTTTTTACTGAATATGTACTTGGTTGGTAATTTCCTTTTGTCGTGGTTCCCAAGCATCCAGTGAGAGAGGAAAGTGTGTCTTCTGAGAAAAGATAGATGAAAGTGATGCGTTTGAGTTAAAAAAGGTAAAAGTGTTAGATAAGCTAGATACCAGTGGGACTCCATCTGTGGTAGGCCGACATTTTGGTTTAAACGAGTCGACTGACGTCCTACTAAAAAGAAAGCCAATGCAGTCAGGGAAAGTGTTGCAGCTAGCGCTCACCAGAGTGTTAAAATGATAACAACTGTGTATCATATGAAACACCTGCATCTCCTGAGGAGTCATCCTCCTGAAATCTTCACCACCACCTCCATCGTCGGTATATAATCATCATCATCATTAAAGTAATACAAAATACAGTAAAACCTTGGATTGCGAGCATAATTCGTTCCGGAAACGTGTTTGTAATCCAAAGCACTCGTATATCAGTTGTGATCACGTGACGCTTGGCAGACAAAGCGTAGACACGTACTACTCGTATTGCAAGACCTCGCTCGTTTATCAAATTAATATTTATTTAAAAAATTTGCTCGTCTTGCAAAACACTCACAGACCAAGTGACTCGCAATCCAAGGTTTTACTGTAGTGTGCTTTATGCAAGATTATTTATTTGTTGTAGTCATTGTTATTCAACATTTACCATTTCCCCCCCTATGTTCACTCATACCAGGAACGTAACCTCATTTTTCCTGTTGAACAAGGTTTCTGCAATCTTGATTTGAAGCTTTCGTGACTGCAGGAATCCATGCTCTTTGGTTCTTTTGGTAAAGTGACTTTACCGAAAGAACCAAAGAGTCGGGTTTCTGCATTCGAGAATTCTGCATTCACGAGCGTTTTAAAGAACGCAACCCTTGCGAATAGAGAGGGTTTTACTGTGTTCTCGCAACTACTGTTCTAGGGACGTGACCAAAACGAGTGGTTTTCAGCTCGTTGTTTGAGTGGAAGAGGGAAAGTCTAGGTAGATAAAAAAAAATGTACGTGCCAAAAACCCACACCTCTTATTGTGCTTGGTGACATGATCAGCCACGTCACACTGGACGTGGCTTGCACGGAGTTTCCTGCCTTCGGAAAGCGGGGTGTTGTGATGATCGTGCTGCCGTGGCGATGGTGGTGGTGCTGTGCGCAGGCACGACGCGGGAGCCGCGTGATGGAGAGGCCCCGGGCCTCGACTACGACTTCATCTCGGTGCACGAGTTCCGCCAGCTCGAAGCCCAGGGCAGGCTGCTTGAGAGCGGCACCTACGAGGGTGCGAGGGCCCGTGGCCTAACTCACACACACGCGCGCACACACATGCTGTGTGTAATTGTGGCCAGTGTAACCGTGTTTACGTGTGGTGTGGCTGTGTGTGGACGTGTGTACTTGTGACCATGTGTACGTGTGGTGTGGCTGTGTGTGGCTGTGTGTGGCCGAGTGTACGTGTGGCTGTGTGTACGTGTGGCTGTGTGTACATGTGTGTATGTGTGTGTCATGTGTACATGTGGTGTGGCTGTGTGTGACCGAGTGTACGTGTGACCGTGTACGTGTGGCTGTGTGTACGTGTGTGTGTCGTGTGTATGTGTCATGTGGCTGTGTGTAGCCGTGTGTACGTGTGGTGTGACTGTGTGTGGACGTGTGTACATGTGACCATGTGTACGTGTGGTGTGGCTGTGTGTGGCTGAGTGTATGTGTGGCTGTGTGTGTGTGTGTGTGTCGTGTGTATGTGTCATGTGGCTGTGTGTAGCCGTGTATACGTGTGGTGTGACTGTGTGCGACCATATGACCGTGTGTACATGTGGTGTGGCTGTGTGTGGTCGTATGTACATGTAACCATGTGTAGGTGTGGTGTGGCTGTGTGCGACCATGTGACCGTGTGTACATGTGGTGTGACTGTGTGCGACCATGTGACTGTGTGTACGTGTGGTGTGACTGTGTGCGACCATGTGACCGTGTGTACGTGTGGTGTGGCTGTGTGCGACCATGTGACCGTGTGTACGTGTGGTGTGACTGTGTGCGACCATGTGACCGTGTGTACGTGTGGTGTGGCTGTGTGTGGCCGAGTGTACGTGTGACCGTGTGTGTGTGTCGTGTGGCTGTGTGTAGCCGTGTGTACGTGTGGTGTGGCTGTGTGCGACCATGTGATCGTGTGTACGTGTGGTGTGGTTGTGTGTGGCCGTTTGTATGTGTGACAATGTGTACGTGTGGTGTGGCCGTGTGTACGTATGGCCGTGTGACCGTGTGTACGTGTGTGCTGCACGCAGGGAACTACTATGGGACCCCGATGCCGCCGGAGGAGCCGGGCGTGGACCCCGCCGGGAGCCCCGCAGAGGCTGCTTGGAGGCCGGGCTCCCTGACCGCTCGCAGGCGCAGCAAGTCTGTGAGCAACATGGAACCTGTGGGCACAGGGGGCCGCGGGCAGCGCGAGCCCGGGCACCCCGCGCGAGCAGCCGCACTCGCCCATCAACAGCAGTGAGACGGCCAGCGTGCTCACAGGTGCTCGCCGCTCCTCACCGCCAGTAGCAGCAGCAGCAAAACCGGCAGTGCGCAAGCAGTAGAGAGGTTGTTTGTGGTGGGTAGGAATACTGGCAGCAGAGATGTGTGTGGTGGGTAGGTATACTGGCAGCAGGGTAGGTTGTGATTCTTCACTAAAGCTTTGTAATTATTCCATGACGAGTTATGGTGTGTCGAGCCACGTGACCACCGTGCCTAGTCTTGTGATCACAGCGCCGAGTCACGTGACCACTATGCCACGCCACGTGATCTTCGCGGAGAATCACATGACCACCACGGCCAATTGCGTTTGAGCAGAGAGTTAATTAGTTGGTTCTTTCGGTAAAAGTCACGTAGAAGGGAAATAAAAAAAGATATATTAAAACAATAACAAATTCTCACGACGTTTCGATTGCAACACAAGCAATCATCATCAGGTGTGAAATCCATTCTACGTGACTTTACCGAAAGAACCAAGAATATGAATCCCTGCAGTCACGAAAGCTTTAAATCAAAAGTTAATTAGTTATTTGACACCGAATATCACGAAACAATAAGAGACTCAATAATAAGGCCTTCAAACAAAAACACCCAGCTTCACACGACAGCCGAGTGTCAATTGTCCGGGGCTATGTGGCAGAGGGGTGGCCAAGGCAAAATAAACACGCAGGCAACGCAAACGCTCAGAGAATGCCGGCGATGAAGTCGTGCGCGTGAAGTAGTGTTCATATTCTTAGGTTTTTTCGGTAAAGTCACGTAGGTAAAAAATTAAAATTAATACAAGTAAAATAAAATAAAAATCACGACGTTTCGGAGGCAACACAAGCTTCCGTCTTGCCTCCGAAACGTCGTGATTTTTATTTTATTTTACTTTTATTAATTTACATTTTTTACCTACGTGACTTTACCGAAAAAAACCTAAGAATATGAATCCTTGCAGTCATTAAAGCTTCAAATCTAGAAGTAGCGTTCGCCTCCCGGATGTGGCGTCGACCCTGCGAAGCGCTCCGTCCTGAGGGCACGTTGTGCCGTGTTTTGTTTTGCAGACTCGAGCGAGCACGACGAGCAGCTATCGCAGCCGCAGCCTCCGCACGCGAGCCACGCGCGGTACGCGCGGGGCGGCACAGACGAGGAGGAGGACGAGGACGAGGAGGAGGAGGGTGACGACGTGAGGAGCAGGGGGAGAGGAGGGGAGCTCGACGAGGGGGCCCTCTTGCCCCCCGCGCACCATGTGAACGCGGGGATGGACGACGACGACGATGAGGATGACGACAGCCCCATGCCCGACAACTGGGAGAAGACACGGACAGAGGACGGCACGGTCTACTACATCGAGTATGCAGCCTCGAGCACAGCAGGGATTACAGCATAGAGCACGGCAGGAACTACAGCATAGAGTAGGCAGGGGTACAGCAGGGAGTACGGCATAGAATGCAGCAGGTTCAATATTGTCGATAGCAGCATCTATGGCAGGAACTACAGCAGGCACTATGGTAGGGTCTATTGCAGTGCCTATGACAGGGACTATATTAGGGTCCATGTCATTCTCTATAGCAGTGGTTCTTAACCTGGGGTGCACGCACCCGAGGCGTGTGAGATGCTTATTCTGGGGGTGCGAGACTCCCTTTCTGGGGGTGCGAGACATGCCATATTTTTTTACAAGGCAAATCATCGAAACACAAATTAAGCACGGGCACGTAAGCACAACTACTTTGTTCCATCAAACCCCTATGTCTTTATTAACATTATAAATGTTTTAACGGTTGAGAACCAAAGGGGGGTGCAAGGATGCAGTAAACGCTAAGAACCACTGGTCTATAGCGACAGTGTGAAGTGGACGCAGGGAATCTCCACGGAGTGTGTGGGTGCGTGTGCGCGTGCGTGACGGGTGTTTGCGTACGTGCGTGTGTGTGTGCGCCTGTGTGACTGGGTATTTGCGTACGTGCGTGTGTGTGTGCGCGTGCGTGACGGGTGTTTGCGTACGTGCGTGTGTGCGCCACAGCCACAGCACCAAGACCACCACGTGGCTTGACCCTCGCCTCAAAACCCAGCTCAAGGCTCCCTGAGGACTGCACCGAGGATGGTGAGGGCTGCACTCGCAAAGGCAAAGATCCCCCGTGTAGCCTTAACACACCTTTGGGGCAAGTGTTGTTAGCTCGTGCCCGTATAGGCTGGCACTGAGTGTGAGAGGTAGGTGGCCAGCACCGCACCCGGCTTCTTGTCTTCCCGATGCAGAAATATACACATCGCACCTGGTGGTCATCTACAGCTGAGTTAACCTAAGGGAGGCCCAGGAACATGGTTCAGATATCACTTGTCACTGATGTCTGCTGTGGCTCGGAACTGAACCCAGGTCGCTGGGTTCGTCGTGCAGTGCGATAACTACACCCAAACAAACACAAATCCTCCATATAGCCTCTAGCAGGCTGTTTGGGCAATGTATATATATATGTTGCACGGTACGTAGCCAACCATGCTAATGGGTAAGTGCTCTTCGCGAGCACTACACACATGGATGACAACACACACCCTCTTTAACCACATCAACTATTGGGGAAACCCCTGCTCGTGAGAACCCACTAAGGCTGGCACGACGCGTCGCGGGTGGTGACCAACAACACACTTATACCTTGGTCTTCCTGGTGCTGACGTTGAAAACCGGCACAAGGTGCTCATTTCAAGCTGGTGTCCACCGAAGATGCGCTCTGTCCCACCACGGAGTCCGTTACGCATTACATGGCCGTGCCAATGGAATTTACATTTGGTCCGGATATCATGGGAGGCTGATTGATACCTGGGCGCAGTCAAGGGATGGCTTCCTCCTGGTAAATTGTATTGTTTATGCTTGTTGTTGGTGATTGCTGCCCATTCAAATAAGGAATTAAGAAACCCAGGCTGGAGATTGCCACGTGCAGGTGTAGAGGAGTATTGTGAGTAACCAATAAGGGGGCGAGCAGAAGGAGGTGGGAGCGGGTTGACAGTCAAGAACGACGTAACGTCAGGGGTTACGCAAGGGGACTTTGGAGAGCCCCTTCGGGAACATGGGCGGAGTCGAGCCGGGGGGAGGAGCTGCCCAAAGGGTTCTTAAGGGGTTCATACTCTTAGTTTTTTCGGTAAAGTCACGTAGGTAAAAAAATGGAATAAAAATTAATAAAAATAAAATAATAAAAATCACGACGTTTCGGAGGCAACACAAGTCTCCGTCATCAGGTGGGACCGTCACAGCCAGATTTGCTGTATCAATTTTAATTTCATTTTTTTACCTACGTGACTTTACCGAAAAAACTAAGAGTATGAATCCTTGCAGTCACGAAAGCTTCAAATCTAGAATTCTTAAGGGTGACCCCGTGACGGAGGCGTGGTCGTCGTAGGGAGCCAGGGTAAGGATTGGCTGCAGAGGGTCTCTCCCTCCTCGTGGCGGAGCGGTGTTGGCTGAACCCCCGCTCTGGGCGGTCGAGTGAGAAAGCCCATAGGGTAGCCGTGGGTAGGACCCAAATAGCATTCAGTGTCCGAGGTAAAGGACCGTGAGAGAGTGCACGTACACTAGTGTGAGCGTAGGTTGTCGAGTGTAATTGTGTTTTAATAAACGGCAACAGCCCTTATAGAATTCCTCATCTCCGCGTGGTTCTCCTGGACTGCACAGGTGAGGCCTTCTCATCAGCCCCACAAAACGAATAGCTAACCTTTGCTCTCGCTGTCTGTTTGATTCATGGTGGGGTGGATGTGGAGGGGGGAATGGAGTTATTGTGGGGAATTGGTAGCAGGGAGCGGTGGCGCAGCGGTTAACTGCCCTATGAACCGAATTCGATTCCTATGCACGGCCAAGGCCAGTGACAGTTATCTGAACCAGTACTGGACCTCTCCTAGGTCGACTCAGCCTCAATTGAGTGCAGTAATACCAAGATGTATGTCCTTCCCTTTTACGTCGTTTTGCAAAAACAGTGATCCCTCGTTTATCGCGGTTAATGGGGACCGGAACCCCTCGCGATAGGTGAAAATCCGCGAAGTAGGATTGGCCCCCTAGGAATTTCCGTTCATGTGTGTGTGGGTACCAGAATGTTTAAAATATGTATATTTATACTTTATATATATTTTACTTAAATATATTTAATTATTAAACCTTAATATTATACATTCACTCTCTTTCTCTCTCATACGATACGTATTATGGTGTTCTACACTCACCAATGACAGTAGTATCTTGAGACTTGACTCTAGTAATGACGACGACGACGATGACAATGACGATGACAATGACGATGACAATGACGACGATGACAGACCTGTGCAGTTCGATGAATGTGATGATGAATGATGATGATGATGGTGTTACTGCACAGGTATAATGAGGCCTTTAAATCAGTTGGAAAAATCCGCGATGCACTGAGGCCGCGAAACTTGAACCGCGAAGTGGCGAGGGATTACTGTACGTCGTCATTTAATACCACTACCTGATTTTCGTTACCTCAATCCACGCTTACATCGCTGACAGCATCGTCCGTCCTTTCTCGTATCCGTCAACTCAGCCTTGGCCTCCACCTACCCTGTAAATAGCTTTTGATTGACCTAATTTCAATATTCGTCGCAACTTTCAGGAATGCATCCCCGATGTTAACCGGGGTATTACTGTACCTGGTGCGATGTGCAAACATTGCCACTCGGTAGATGGTGGCGGTCTGGTGTGGTGTTGGCCACCCTCCCCCTCGTGTGCCGCGCTGGCCTTCATAGGTGCTGCTCGCTAACAGCACTTGCCCCTACAGCCTGTTAAAGGCGATACAGGGGATGGCTTTGTTTGGAGTTATTTTCCCTGGGAAGAGTGCTCACGACCAGCTTAGGTTTTATGATCTGATAATTGCTGCTCACTCTGAGAAGGAGTTGGAGATGCTACTGCTGAACTTGGAGTGTACTATTAAGAGATGGGGCCTTACCATTAGCCCCACATAAACAAAGCACCTTGCCTGCGTATTTTGTGCCTAACTACCAAATCAATGAGTGATGGACTTGGGTAGTGTGCTAATGACCAACTCTCTTTTGGCAGCGGAGGTCTCACGTCATATCAGTCGAGCGCATCTTTTCATCAAATGCGTAACGCCTTCTGAAAAATGTCTGCCCTATCGCTCCATATGAAGCTTTGTCTCTTCTCAGCCACAATGAAGCTCCCTCTTCTCTGTGTTTACGAAACTGTGGAGCCCTTTATATGAATACCTGCGCCAAATTGAAATATTAACGTGCGCCTACGATTTGTGTTGTGTCCGTGTGTGGCTCAGAGCTGCCGTACGGTTGGGAGAGGATCGAAGACCCGGAATACGGAGTCTACTACGTTGAGTGAGCCCTGCACCCTCACCACCACCGCGACCCTTCTGTGTTAGAATCTGATCACAAAGCAGCAGTAACAGACAGCTGCTGTACCCATGTCACAGGAGTAACACTCGTGCCTCACAGCAAGAAGCCTTGGGTTTGAATCCTGACTCAGGCACTTTTCTGTGTGGAGGGTGTATATTTTCCCCCACGTCTGTCTATGTTTTCTCCAGATTTTCCGGTATTCTCATATAACTAAAAACACATGCAATGTAACTGGTATTGGCCAAACATCCCAATGTTGAAAATTAACATGTAAATCACGCACCGCTGGGGATGCCACTTACGCCCTGGGCCTCACTGACTGTGCCACCGCCACCCCCTCCACAGCCACATCAACAAGTGCACGCAGTACGAGAACCCCGTGACAGAGGCGAAGAAACCTCAACCAGGTATGGAGGGCATCGCAGCACAAGCACACACACAGACACGTGCACAGATATACACGCACGCGCACATATGCAGAAACGCATGCCTCGCCCGTTTAGCGCCCTTTATTAATAAAACAGAAGGTGCTTGGGCATTCGATGGCTGTACATGCAGGCTACGTGACCCAGCAAACGCAGCCTCGCCTGTCGGAGGAGCTCACTGATGGGACCATGTCTAGATCTTTCTAGGATCTGTGAGCTCCCACAATCCAGCCTGGTTAAACCCAGGGTGGATTGTAGGCAGGCCATCCTGAACGTTTCAAACTGGCACAGATGTTCCTTTAAAGGGTTCCACGTTTCTCAAGCATAGATAAGGGAGAGTGAGCTTAACTGTGGCTGAGAAGACCTAGGGCTTCGTGTGGGGTGATAGGCCAGACAACCACCACACAGCGTTATGCAGCTGATGAAAAGATGCCTAACCGGAGCTGGTCATAAGCACACTGCCCAGGTACAGGAACATCTCCACTTTCTCCACAATTGCCCCATCAGTCACAGAGCAAGCGAGGGCATGCTGTGGCTTGGCACGGGCCGAGGGTTTTGGGGAGATAACTGTTGATCAGACCGCCTGCCTGCCTAAGGCGATTACCCACGTGGCCTCTCCGTGACCTCAGTCCTTCGTTCAGACCACGTCTGTTTATCTGAGCAAAACAGGGTCACTGGGGTTTGCGCCGTTGTCTGATGCCGCAAGCTGCATGAATCGGGGACCGCGTGTGTGGGTCTAGCCCAGCTTATGGAGCCGGAGGGGGCTCCCTGTCATCAGATGCCGATTTACACTCGGCTCCATCATTGGCGTCGGTGATTAGGGCAAATACTGGTGGCACAGTTGGTTTGCACACTGCTTGATCATCCAGGTAACCCAATTTCAATTCCTGGCCAAGACTAACATCGGTGGCAGTTAACTTACCCAGTTATCTATAATGGGTACCTTGTGTATTGTGTAAACAACAGCATTGGGGAGACAATGTCAGACGCACGTGGTGCTGGCCACTCCCACCCACTTGTGTGCCGTGCCGGCCTTCATAGGTGTTCACGAAAAACACATTCCCCGACAGTCTGTTCAAGCTACACGGGGGGATCTTTGTCCTTACACGTGTATGAGTGGGGAGCGGTAGTGTAGTGGTTAGCGCGCTGTGCTATGAACCTGGCTACCCGGGTTCGATTCCCGCTCACGGCTAACACCAGTGACGATTATCTTAACCGGTCCTGGGCCTCCTCTAGGTCGACTCAGCCTCAAATGAGTACCCGGTGCGGTGTGTAAACATCGCCACTGGGGAGACAAAGTCGACGATCGGGCGTGGTGCTGGCCATCCACCCCCTCATGTACCGTTCCGGCCTTCATAGGTGCTCGCTAACAGCACTTGCCCCTACAGCCTGTTAAGGCTACACGGGGGATCTTTGTGTTTGCCACCATGTGCCACCGTGTGCGCGCTCGCAGCGGGGAAGCCGTTCTTTACGCGCGACCCCACGGAGCTGCGTGGCTCCTCGCTGAGCTCGCGGCTGCAGAAAAGTCAACGCGGCTTCGGCTTCACCATCGTGGGTGGCGATGAGCCCGAGGAGTTCCTGCAGATCAAGAGCCTCATCCCGGGCGGCCCCGCCGCCGCAGAGGGCCTCATGGAGACCGGTGCGTGCGTCTGTGCATGTGTGTGCGCGTCTGTGCGCGTCGGTGCGTGCATCGTGTCCTTGTGTGTGCATACAGCCTGTCTGTGGGTGCGTCTGTGCATGCATGTCTGTGTGTGCGCGTCTGTATGTGTACGTACGGCCTGTCTGTTGGTGCTTGTGCGTGTCTGTGCATGCGCGCATGTGTGAGCTGCCTTATGTTTGTTCATTCATGCTATGTGTGTGTGTCATGTTTGACCTGAGGGTGGAGTCCTTAAAACCCGGCAACCCGAGTTCAGTTTCGGCTCACATCAGTGACGAATATCTGAATTGCTTATTGGCCTCCCTTAGGTTGACTCAGCCTTAAATGAGTACTGGGTGGGGTATGTAAACATCAATACTGGGTAGACAAAGGCGACCGGGCATGGTGCTGGCCACACACTTCCTCATGTACCGTGCCATCCTCCCTCAATAGGTGCTCGCTAACAGCACTTCTCCCACCAGTCTGTTAGAGGCTACAAGGGGGATCTTTGTCTTTGTGTGTGTGTGTGCTGCCTTGCATCTTTGTGCGTGTTTCTTCATCTTTTTTGTGTGCATGTGACGGAGTACATGTGTATGTTCCTGTGTGTGGGGAGCTAAAGCACATGTGTGGTGGTGGTACATCTGCCAGTCATCTCAATCAGTCAACCCATGGCACCCGAGTCTGTCCCGTGACCTCCTGCCAGCAGCAAGAGCCTTCCAAACTTAATGCGCTGGCCTCGAAGTCGACCTAGCCTGGCACAAACACTGTTGTGACACGCAGACAACATATTTTAAAGTGTAAAATCTACTTTTATCTTCATTACAATTGTATTGTTTATGCAGAGGGACAGATTTATGAAGGAGAGATGTCGCTTGTTTATTTATTTGGCGTCATCTGGTCCAACACCAATGGAGATTGGGCTCTAAGAAAAGCTGTCTCAGGTGTGGACCAATCAACTTCAAGGACAGTGCATATCATTATCAGAGTTGTTTATTTTTGTTTGCATTTTGACTGCTTGTGTTGTGGTTATTGCAAACATGATGCCTTGTATAAAGGTGTCAGTTTTTGTACCAGTTGAAAGGGTAAAAACCTATCACTATAACTATATATGACTTATAGGATACCGTACTATTGTTGTTGTTCTGCCGGTTGTTGACGCCTCTCCAGGAGACGTGATTGTGCGGGTGAACGACACGTGTGTGCTGGGGCACACGCACGCCCAAGTGGTCGAGATTTTCAAGTCGATCCCAATCGGGCAGCACATCGACCTGGAGCTGTGCCGCGGCTACCCGCTGCCCTTTGACCCCGACGACCCCAACACGCACCTCGTCAAGTCGGTGGCCATCACGAATGAGCCGGTGTTCGTGAACGGCGGCCGCACCATGAGCGTGCGCAGCGCTCGCTCCTACGTGCCGGCGCCCGAGTACCGCGGTGGCACGCGGCCCGGCAAGATGAACCTGCCGCAGGTGAGCGGGGTCACAGCGGCCGCCGGGCGTTGGGTTGCATCGCGTGGGGTTGGCACACGTTGTTGCCCCGGTGCTCGTGATCCATCGTGGCAGACACCAGTTCTGCAGAACCAGCTGCCTTCTGCAGAGGAAGTCGACATTTGAGGGTCGATGATTTCCCCCCTGATTAGGGCTTAAATATCGAGGTGACAACCCACAGCGCTTTACAATGCGAACGAGGAAAGACAACTTGAGAGGATTGCAGCGGAGAATTTGGAGAGGGCTAACGAACCAAGAGAGAGCATCGCGTTGACGACAGCTTTGTCCTGGTGTTACAACTGTAGTGGGCTCAATTGATGCGCACACTCAACTTGGAGGCAACACTATTTCTTAATGCATAACAACCAACGTTAACATTATACACAAGGTGATGACCACCGTTCCTCACCTCACTAACACTCGGGGAATACTACACCACGTGACCAAGGCATGTGACGGGCTGCCTGGTCACTGACGACAATCGGAGAAGGGAAATAATAAAATAATATAAATATAAAACAAAACAAAATTCCCTTCTACGTGACTTTACCGAAAGAACCAAGAATATGAATCCCTGCAGTCACGAAAGCTTTAAATAAATAAAAAAGACGATCGGAGACTCGAGGACCGCTGATACTGTGTCTTCAGCCCAGGGTTGAAGAGCCCAGCTCTCTGTTCACCCCCCCCGTAACTCCCGTGGCATGGCTGGCTCTGCCCCAGGCCACGTCTCCCTTCTCGATCCTTCGAGAAGGTTCGGGCCCCCAACCACGTGACCCCCAAGCTGCCCCCCTGGGGCCCCTAGCCCCCCCTTTGTCCGGTCACGTGTCCTGTTGGGTGCAGGCAGAGTGTCACGGCTTGAGACGAGCCCCGTGACACCCGCCTACAGCACCCAGACCGAGCCAACACAGTAGTGACGTCATGTGTCCCTACGCCCGTAGTCTCGACACAGTAGTGATGTCGTATGTCACTACACAATGAACACGCGCGTGCAAACACACATATGAGATGCAACGACCAATCAGAGTCCAGAGAAGTCCAATAACGAGACAGGATACAAAGTGCAGATCGATCCACAGTCGACTGCACCATTCCTCAGAGCTGTTCATCCTCACCCAGTCCCCCACGCCATCTCATAGGCTGCTGTCTCTTACCGACAAATGTAAATGATGACAACTTACACTGGTCAACACACTTTTTCTGGCATAAGGTATTCCAACGGTTTTAAGGTAATTTTGGGGTGCTGATTCCAAATCTGGCATCAGTTTTTGTCTATCACATCAGGTTTTTGAGATATCAAATATTGCATTTTCAATAAAAACTGCAGAAGAAAAATATTAAATAAATGTGGATATCTACATAAAATGATATTATAAACACACTATCCTAAAAAAACAGCACCATATTTTAACACTAAAGCAGTCACTGACTCGCAACAACTTGCAATCATAAGTGACAGAGTTAATTTCGGGTAAAATCAATGAAAATGGGGTATGCCGATAGCATAAAAATGAGATGTGATAGATTTTTTTTTGTTGACCAGTGTTATAGATACTGGACGCTCTTCCCTCTCCACCAATGAGGCTGAGTGACTGCAGTCAGATGGTTAGTCGCCCCTTATCACTCTGTTTTCCCTTCTACCATGGGTATTGTATTTCCACGAACTTTAATTATTGAGTTCTCCACCCACCAGACTGTTTCCATCTCATCCACACAGCAGGTCACAACATCACACGCGCCCACCCATTCACCTACCCACGCACCACACACTTCAGGCCACAACACTGCTATATCTACGATGGAATTCTCTCCCCCTCTAAGTAACCTTGCTCAGCTCCAACACGCCACGCTGTCATCCATTACAACTTAGTGCTGTATCATGGGGCCTGTTTTGCCAGTATCAAAAGTATAAAAAATTGAAATAGGTTTTACCCTTTCTGGCAATAAAACAGGTGTTAAGATGTTCAAACACCAAATAAGTACCTTTTGCAAGGAATCTTTATTCATTGCCTTTGTAACTACTGTGCGCCTTTTGACGATCTATGGTCTAACATTGATGAGACTAAGCTATAAGAGAAGCTGTCTCTGGTGTAGGCCAATCAGATCCTCCTGCAGGCGAGTAAACGCACAGCGCCAGCATGCCTCACAGCGTCGTCCCGATGAATTATCTCCATTCTAGATTTGAAGCTTTTGTGATTACAAGGATTCATACTCTTAGTTCTTTCGGTAAAGTCACGTAGGTAAAAAATGAAATTAAAATTAAAATTGATTTTAATTTCATTTTTTACCTACGTGACTTTACCGAAAGAATTATCTCCACTCCGTCGACTCGGCGGATCCCTTTTCGCCAGCGTGGGCCGCCGGCGCCCTTCGTAGGCGCTCAGCGAGCATGTGTGCCGACAGGACAAGGCCCTGGCGATTACGTCACAACCCGAGCTCATCACCGTGCACGTGGCCAAGGGCGCAAGCGGCTTCGGGTTCTCCATCGCGGACGGGCCGAGCGGACAGCGCGTGCGGCAGGTTATGGACGCCCAGCGCTGCCGGGGCCTCAAGGAGGGCGACCTCCTGCTCGAGATCAACCGCGAGGGACTGCATGGCGCCAAGCACGCACAGGTCGTGCAGAGGCTCAAGGAGTTCAACGTTGGCAGCACCGTGACCTTCCTGATCCAGCGCGGGGGTGAGCACGGTGCCTGACGGGCTTCACACTCGCTCTGCGCTGTGTCTCTGTGTGCTATGTCTTGGCGTGTTGTGTCTCTCCGCGCTGTGTCTCTCTGTGTGCTATGTCTGGCATGCTGTCTGTCTGCGCTGTCTCTCTGTATGCAATGTCTCTCTGTGCTGTGTCTCACTGTGCTGTGTCTCTGCACTGTGTCACTCTGCGCTGTCTCTCTGCGCTGTCTCTGTGTGCTATGTCTTGGCATGCTGTGCCTCTCTGCTGTGTCTCTCTGTGTGCTATGTCTCGGCATGCTGTCTGTCTGCGCTGTCTCTCTGTATGCTATGTCTCTCTGCGCTGTGTCTCACTGTGCTGTGTCTCTGCACTGTGTCACTCTGCGCTGTCTCTCTGCGCTGTCTCTGTGTGCTATGTCTTGGCATGCTGTGTCTCTACGCTGTGTCTATCTGTGCTGTGTCGCCCTCCGCGGCCTATCAATGCAACCGCATCGTCACACCCGTTGGCATCATGGCTGGCAAGAGACGCATTTGATAATCGTGCGGCCAGCAGCAACGCCTGGCTGTGTCTAACCTGCGTTGACAGTTACACACTTCACTGCCTCCTCTAGGTTGGCTGTGCCTTAAATGTGCATCTCGTGGAGCGTGTTGACGTTAACGCAGCCAGGCATAGCACGGGTCCCACTGTGGTTCCGTGTCACTCCAGCCTAACGCCTACTTATGAACGTCGCACAGACAAACACCACACAGAGCAGCAGGCTTGGTGCAGGGGCCTCTCTCGTCTTGGGAATACAATGATTCCCACCCCCCCCCCCTCCCCGGGCCATAGCAATTCAATGACTCACCCCGATACGATTGCACAATGTTGTTTGTACCGATTTGGCAATACTCTGAGCCTAAAGGCACGAGGCACGTTAGTCTAACTGGTATCGATCATAAACAATTATCAATTGAATTGATGATTTTATGAAGTTAGAGATTTTATTTTGGTCGTGTCAAGTTTTGTTGTGTTTAACCGAGGTGAGTACTCGAGTAGCCAGGATGATACTCTTTGGTTCTTTCGTTAAAGTCACGTAGGTATAAAATTAAATAATATAAACCAGGATGAGTCTAATTTGCAAGAGTGACCTTGTTCACCAAAATGACAGAGAAAAGCAAATAAAATATAACAAAGTACAGCGATGAACTAAACAGCGATGAGCACACGTGGATGATCTACGCGTACCGACTGCGCTACATGCTGGTTTGTTTCGATTTGAAGCTTTCGTGACGGCAGGGATTCATATTCTTGGTTCTTTCGGTAAAGAACCAAGAATATGCTGGTGTGTCTCGCTGTCTTTTGGGAAGCAGCAACGAGAAAATAATTTTAGCCTTAACTCCACACCCTGTTTTAATTTGACATCGGTTGTGTGTGCGTGCACGTTGGCTCGTGTTGTCTGCTGAGCGCGTGAATTGTGCGCCCGGTGGTGAAGGCTGTGGTGTGTTCTTGTTTCCAGGTTCCTACCTTCAGAAGAGTCCCAAGCCGGTGAGTAGCCGATGCCTACGCACGTTTCATGCAGAGTTGCGAGAACATAGCGTGGCACTGCTGGGTGGTAGCGCTCTCCCAGTTAACCTCGTTTATGATGCCAGGCCTCCGCGCTCACTTTCTGGGCGTGCGCGTTGCCCGTGGCGGTTGCCATCTGTACCGAGCCCGGGCCTCCCCTAAGCAGACTCGGCTTCGGTAGGAGCCGGCGCTCGCCGGGACGGTGTTCCCTGTGTAGCACACGGCACGTGCGGCGAGGCCCGGGCATCGCTTGTTTGGGAGACCTCTGCTGGATTTAGGCGACAGCTCGTGTGTGTGTGTATTTAGGGGAGTGGTGGTGTAGCGGTTAGCATGCTGCGCTATGAACCCGGCAACCCGGGTTCGATTCCCGCTCACGGCCAACATCAGTGACGATTATCTGAACCGGTCCTGGGCCTCCCCTAGGTCGACTCCGCCTCAAATGAGTAACTGGTGCGGTGTGTAAACATCGCCACTAGGGAGACAAAGGCGGTCGGGCGTGGTGCTGGCCACCCACGCCCTCGTGTACCGTTCCGGCCTTCATAGGTGCTCGCTAACAGCACTTGCCCCAGCAGTCTGTTAAGGCTATATGAGGGATCTGTCTTTGTTGTGTGTCGGGAATGAGTGTCTGTATTTGTAGTAGTGTTTGTGTATTTGCGTGTATTTTTGGTGTATGTGTATGTATCTGTGTGTTTTAATGTGTATGTGTATGCATCCGTGTTTTAATGTCCGATGGAGTGGTGACAGTGGTTAGTGGACTACAAATCTGTTGGTAGGGGTGCGATTCCCAGCTCATTAACAGCACTTTCCCGAACAGCCTGTGTACGCCATATGGAGATATTTGGCTTTGTATGTGTGGCGTGTATATACAGTGTTTGAAAAAGATGGACCCAATTTCAAAGCAGTATAATACACGATGGCAACATGTTACAATTACACAAAGTTACAAAAGGTTTAATGAGTTATCAAGTTTTACTAACCATTTTATAAATGCTCTATGTGCCCTCCACCTGCTGTACGGACAACATCGAGACGATAGTTGAATTCGTCCCAAAAGCCTCTCAAAGTGTCTTCTTCCACTGACGTCACCGCTGCCCTGATTCTGTTTTTGAGGTCATCCAGATTAGTCGCTAATGGTGGCACAAAACCACGTTCTTTGACGTATCCCCACAAGAAAAAGTCGCAGGGTGTCGTGATGTCTGGGAATCTTGGGGGCCAAGAGTGTAGCGCCAAGTCTTGGGGTCCCGTACGACCTATCCAACGTTGAGGCAGTGTTGTCTTGCGGATGACTGAGGTTAGGGGCTGTTAGTGCGCTGGGAGAGGCATCTAGCGGCAATCATTTGAATCTTAATGCCCCGCCCTTTCAAGTGGTAAGAGTTTCATGCATGGGCGGTTCGTGGTTGCAGAGATATAGCGATTTCAAATCTGGTCTATCTTTTTTAAACACCTTGTGTAGCATTATTATGTTTCTGTGTGTGCGTGGGGAGGGGTAGTGTGGCGTTAACACGCTGCACTACAAACCCAGCAACCCGAGTTCGATTCCTGCTCACGCCCAACACCAGTGACGATTATCTGAATGGATCCTAGGCTTTCCCCTAGGTAGACTCAGCCTCAAATGAGTACCTGCTGCGGTGTGTAAACATAGCCACTTGGGAGACAAAGGCGGTCGGGCGTGGTGCTGGCCATCCACCCCCTCGTGTGCTGTTCCGGCCTTCATAGGTGCTGCTCGCTAACAGGGTACATTTTTCTTTGTGCGTGCATTTGTGTATGCATATCCATGTGTGTCTGTGTGTATCCGTGTGTGTGTCCACGTGTTTATACCTACGTGTATGTGTGTGTGTGTCTCAGGGCCCGAGGCGGCACGTTGTGCCTCAGTCGAGTCAGGACGTGATGCTCCCATCGCTGGTGAACCAGGGGCTGGCACGTGGCGGCGGTGGTGGTGGCCGCTCCGGCTCCCCCACTCCCTCCAGCAGCCCCGACAGCCGGCACCCGGACGCATACCGCCTGTACCGCGAGTCGCGCTCTATCTTCGACAGCAAGGGTCAGTGTCCCCATGCCAGGCTGCCTGGCCGACGGCACCGCCCCCGTTGGATGTGCGAGCCGTCTTAGCACCGGCTCCGAGTGCGCTGATTGCCCCCGACGCTCGTTAGTGCGGGCATTTTAAACCATTGCTGCGGCGTTGCAGAACCATCCCGTCTCGTTGACGGCCGTGCTCTTGCGTTGGCCGTTTGGTGCTAAACGTTGGACGTGTGACGTCTTGTGTGGGAGCAGTGGCAATACCGTGGAATGTTTATCTCGTGTGTTTTGGTTACCGTATTGTGTACAGCAGAGGGGTCTTCAGTTCCACTGGAAGTCATTTTGCCATGGCCAAAGAAACAGTCTCATCTTCTTGGTTCTTTCGGTAAAGTCACGTAGAAGGGAAGTAATAAAATAATAAAAATAAAACATAATAAAACAATTCTCACGACGTTTCGGCCACAACGCAAGCAGCCGTCCTCAGGTGAAAACCAGGTCCGTCGAGGCGACAGAGTCTGAATGAACAGCACAAGAAGATGAATCCCTGCAGTCACGAAAGCTTTAAATCGAAAAAGAAACAGTCTCAGTCACAGACTGGCCTACCACCTGATAACACTGGAGTGCGCTGGCAGCCCACGTGCCGACACACGCCATGTGCTGTCGGTGTAGTGGCTCGCTTGCTGATCCACGTGTGACCCTTCCTCTCAATGGAGTCGTAGGCGTGCACCTCTCCATCCTGTGCACCTGACCGCGAACGTGAAGTTCGCGTCTCCAGAGCTCTCATCTCTCGGGGTGGTGGGGCACTGCCCCGAGCGGGCGGGCAGGCGGGCAGGCGGGCAGGCGGGCAGGCGGGCAGGCGGGCGTTTGGCCGAGGGCAGCATGCACCCGGCTGCCTCTCACATGCCGCGTGTCTCCCCACAGCGGCGTCCGACTACAGGGAGATGGACATCCTGTTGCGGCGGCACGAGAGCGGCTTCGGCTTCCGCATCCTGGGGGGGAACGAGCCTGGAGAACCCGTGGGTGGCGCGGCACCACCACTGGCACTGTGCCATCACTGGCAGCATACCGCCACGAACACAGCCTGATGCATTGACACTGCATAGTTAACTTTGCAAGCAAGTTGGGTGTGGTGCTTTTTAATCCTCTCTCACATAAATCCTATCTGGTTCATCTGCACACTATGGCCCACACCAGGCCCTGCCTTTAACAGAGCGGCCACAAAAATGCTGGGATGCGCGTTTGTCGCGCGACACGATCGGTCGCTTGTGATGATGATTGTGGCGATCAGTCTACCGAGCTCGGATAAATTGCTTCTGGTTCGAGACGCCGCCACCCCCCGGCTCCTCTAGAGGGGAAGGAACTCCTGTGGGAACATCGCGTGGAGCGGTGCGAGGGAAAAAGCAGAATGGGAATTGTTGTGACCTGCAGCGTGGCAAGTGGGTGGGACAGTGATAGAGTGAGAGTGTGTAGTTGATGTGTGTGGGGAGCGGCACGTGAAGTGGGGAGTGCCTGTGAGTCCTTGTATGTATGCTTGTGTGTATATATGTAGTGAGTTCAACTGAGTCACAGACGTACTCTTTGGAGGCAACACATTTATTAACACCAACACAAAGGGGTAACTGTCCCTTAACCGGATAACAACCAATGGTGGTGGACCACCCGGCTAACTACACTAATCACACTGGGAGTATCTACAACGGACCGGGCCCCAGCTCGGGTCCAGGTCCACGTGTTGGAGAGTCTGTAGGACGTAGAACGTAGATTTCTTCAGGATGAACAACAGCAGCCGGTCCCTCTCGGGGACCCGGCTTATATCCTCTGTGGCGTGGCTGGCTCCGCCCTTAGCCACGACCACCTTCTAGAATCCTCGAGCAGGATCTCGACCCTGACACGTGACCGACCACCCCTAGCCCCCACCTGGGGGGGCCCTGTGTAGACTTTACCGGTCACGTGTCCTTCGGGGTCAACCAGAGTGCCATGGCCCTTAGTAACCCCATGGCCGGCACTCTCACACCCTAACCTGTAGGGGTCGGCACTGCACACAGAGCGTGGTGCCATCCAGCACTGCCAGTCCAGCGCTCACCGAGCCCCTCTAGGGCCGGTACTGCACCCACATGTACGTGGTGCCCGCGATGTCAACACACAGCACGCCGTGCCTCTCTAGGGCCGGCATTACACAGTGACATCCGCAATGTCACTACAAATATATATGTGAGTGTGAGGAGCGGTAGTGTTGTGGTTATTGTGCTGCGCTACGAACCCGGCAATCTGAGTTCGATTCTGGCTCTCGGCCAACACCAGTGACGATAATCTGCAGAGGTCCTGGGCCTCCCCTAGGTCAACTCGGCCTCAAATGAGGAACTGGTGCGATGTGTAAACATCGCATCTAGGGAGACAAATGTAGCTGGTCGTGGTGCTGGCCACCCACCCCCTCGTGTGCCATGCCAGCCTTCATAGGTGCTCACTAACAGCACTTTCCCTCAGTCTGTGAAGGCTGTGGATGGGTGATCTTTGCCATTGAGTGCGAGTGAGGGTGTTTGTTGTGACTTGGGGTTCAAGTTCAAGTTCATTTATTAGGTATAGCCCTGTGAGCCATTCGGCTCTTGAATCGGGTGCAACCGCAACAAACAAAAACCAAAAAACATGAACAAAAAACATCTTAAAGTGAATATGTGACTAAGTGCAAACAGAAATCCAAGGTGCAGTGAGTGGGTGAGTGAAGGTGTTGTTGTTGTGACCGGCGGTGTTGGCGTGCATCAGATTGTGATCGGCTCGATCGTGCCGCTGGGCTCGGCGGACGCGGATGGGCGCCTGCGCACGGGGGACGAGCTGGTGAGCGTGGACGGCGTCGCCGTGCTGGGCCAGTCCCACACGCACGTCCTGGGCCTCATGCAGCAGGCGGCCAAGAAGGGCGACGTCAGCCTCACCGTGCGGCGCCGGGGCTCGCCCGCAGGTATCGCCGCACCCTCACGGGGCTCTCGGGGCTCTCGGGGCTCACGGGTGCGTGTGAGAGCGCCAAGTGTGTGTGGCGAGCGGTGGCGCAGCGGTTAGCGCACTGCGCTATGAACCCAACATCCTGAGTTCGATTGTGGCCCTCGGCCAACACCAGTGACGATTATCTGAACCGGTCCTGGGCCTCCCCTAGGTCGACTCGGCCTCAAATGAGTACCTGGTGCGGTGTATAAATATCGCCACTGGGGAGACAAAGGTGGTTGGGCGTGGTGCTGGCCACCCACCCCCTCGTGTACCGTTCTGGCCTTCATAGGTGCTCGCTTACAGCACTTGCCCCAACAGTCTGTTAAGGCTATACTGGGGTGTCTTTGTGTGTGAATCCGTAGGTGAGTGTGTGCGAGTATTTTAACCCCCATCCCAACCGGCGAGGAGTGGCCGGAGTGATTCGATAATGAATCGGGTTTCAACTAATTTAGTTGCATTACAATTTTGCCGAATTGGGCAAAACCTCGATTGTAATTGGGCGCCAGATTTATGTGGACCCCTAACCTCTGACCCCCGACCCCCGTGCCACCACAACAGAGGGAGAGCAGTGGCAGGGGCACGACTCTTCGACGCTGCTGCACGGGGAGGGGTTCACCGGTGGCCGGGAGGGGTTCCCCGGTGGCCGGGAGGGGTTCCCCGGTGGCCCGCCAGGGTCCGGGAACGCACGCGCCCCGTTCGGGGGGGACGGGGCCTACACGGGCGGCACACGTGACGTCCTCCTGCACCGCGGGGACAACGAGGGCTTCGGATTTGTGCTCATCTCAGCGCTGCCCTTCCCAGAGAGCAACGGCACTCACGGGGGTACGGGCTGCACCCACGCTCGCCAGACACGCTCACGAACCACACCATACACGCCACACTCACCACCCACACTATATACACCACACTCGCCACACCGGAGTGTGCACAGCACAGCACCGACACTCGCCACCCATCCTCGCCACGTAACAAAGACAAAGGCTCGGTGGGACCACGTGGTGCGAGGCTGAGTGGGATTGTGGGCCTCGTGCAGATGGGGATGTCCCGCACAAGATCGACCGCATCGTGGAGGGCAGCCCAGCGTCGCGCTCGGGCCAGCTGGAAGTGGGCGATCGCATCGTGGCGGTGAACAAGCAGCCTATTGTCCACCTGAGCCACGACCAGATCGTCAGCCTCATTAAGGCCGAGGGCAACACCATCCTCCTACGCATCGTGCCTGCCCGTGGCAAGACCCCTCCCTCCTCCCGCTACACTCACCGCACTCACCGCGCTCACCGCACTCACTAACACAATAACTAATTTACTAACATGCCCACTAACACACTGGCTAATACGCTCCTGAACACTCGTTGGCACACTTGCTAGCACGCTCACTATAAAGCTTACGAAGACGCTCGTCGACATGCCCACTGACATGCTCGCGCCCACACTCGCGCCCACTACCGAGCCAGCGGTGGACGCAGCACGTTCCCACGCCGCGAGCGCGATGCTCACTTCCGCCGTGTTTCCTACAGACTCGGCCGCCCTCATCCCCCATCAACAACGACGACAACTTCTCCGGCAGCCATGCGTCCAGCGCTTTCCGCTCCACGGACACGCTGGGGTAACTCGCACGACGAGACGCGTCACAATGACAAACACGACGAGACACGTCGTGGTGACTCGCATGATGGGGTAACCGGCGCGTCTGGGTATAACAGGTGCATCTGCCAAGAGCCTACAGGCAGCATGGGGTTTTCTTGTAGAGGCAACGCACACAGCCGGTTTCTCACCTCTTTGGGAAAAGATTTGGATTCTCTCCCCTCGTATGCACGTCGCTTTCCTCCACCTCCCACATCAAACCATGACAGAGTTGAGCCGACGCCCGCACGTCCAGAGTAAACGCAAACTCTGCGCGGCGAGAGAATAACGAGAAGATTTCAATGTCGTGCAAGCTGAGTCGTGATGCCCTCTCCTGTGCCATTGCTGTCCCAGGCCTGACCCGCGCAGCAGGAAGGACGTGAAACCCGACCCCAAGTCCTCACAGGTGAGGGGGGGAAGGAGGGGGAGGAGGAGAGGTCATTGGGCACAGAGGGTCGGCACATGTCACCAAGATAGCCACATACAGTGTCTACGCACACATGTACACATTAACAAGTACAGTAAACCCTCACGAATGCAGAATTCGTGAATGCAGAAACCTTAATAATAGGTTGTTTACCCTTTTTTCTGGCAACACAACTGAAACCTTTTTTTTTACGAGGAATCATGTTTGCATTAACCACAATACCTGCAGTCAGAATGCAAACAAAAAACACACTGATAATGTATGCATCGTCCTTGCAGAAACCTTGTTCCATTGGGAAAAATGGGGTTACGTTCCTGGTACGAGTGAACATAAGGGGGAATTGCTAAATGTTTAATAACAATGACTACAATACATAAAGAATAAATAATGATATTTTTTAAAATATTACATTTGATGATGATTTTACGACGACGATGGTTGGTGCTGGTGCTGGCGAGGAATTCAGGAGGATGGCTCCTTTGGAGATGCCGGTGTTTGATAACACACAGTTATCGTTTTACCACTGGGGAAGTGCAGCAGCAACACTTCCCCTGATTGTATTCGGGTTCTTTTTAATGGACCTCGCAGTCGACTCGTTTATACCAAAATGTATAAACGATTTGAAGCTTTCGTGACTGCTGGTTCTTTCGGTAAAGTCACGTAGTTAGAAATAAATAGCATTGGCACTCGTGCACCGCCCGTGCTCCTGGTGCTGTTGATACACTTGGGGGGCTATGCCCATCCCCAAATCTTTATAAAGTTTGCCTTTAGAGGCCGACTTTTTTGCCTGATGACGACTGCTTATGTTGCGATCGAAACGTCGTGATTTATTTTATTTCATTTCTAACTACGTGACTTTACCGAAAGAACCAAAGAGTATCTATAAACGAGTCGACTGTAAGTACGTATGAAGTAAAAATGCACAATAGCTTACTGTGAGACTAAGCACTCAGCGGGCAGCTGAGGGTGCGTGCCGAATCTTCGTAGACAGTTTCAAATGTATCAACATTCTACACGTACCTCCCCGGTATCGGCGGTCTGGCACTACGTACACTCACAAATACAGTAAAACCTTGGATTGCGAGCATAATTCGTCCCGGAAACGTGTTTGTAATCCAAAGCACTCGTGTATCAGTTGTGATCACGTGACGCTCGGCAGACAAAGCGTATACACGTACTACTCATTGCAAGACCTCGCTCGTTTATCAAATTAATATTTATTAAAAAGATTTGCTCGTCTTGCAAAACACTCGCAGATCAAGTTACTCGTAATCCAAGGGTTTACTGTACTGGAGTCCGGCGGGTCGCGAATAGGGAATTAGCGTGCACTTAGTAAATCGCAAATATGTGAACTCGCAAATCCATAACTCGCGTATAGCGTGGGTTTACTGTGTACATGAATCAAGTACACAATAATTTGCTCTACCCTGTGAGTCGCACCAAGAGGTGTGCACCTTGCAGCCTATGGGTTCACTGAACCCAGCTGACGGTGCCACCCAGACTGACTTCATATTGGCCTCTACACTTTACATTAGGTATCAGATGAGTCTGAACTAATTAACTTGAAAAGACACTAACGAAGCACGGACCACACACTAACTACACCTTAACCATATATTCACCCCACACACAGACCACCCACACGCACTGCGTGTTTGCATTGGGCGGATGGGCCTACTGCTGCTGTGTGACGCTTTGCTCACCGCGATACGACCCTGGTGACTCGGGGTCGGCTCTGCCCGTGGCAGCACACGACCCCGCCGTGACCCCGGTGTAACCCCGCCGTGCACCTCACCATTGCCCCCGGGAGTCCCCTGGCTGGACTTGGTTCGAGCGCCAGACGCGATGGTGCTGCGGGCGCCACCGTCCGTCCTGGACAGGCGAGGCCTGCCCCCCTCTCCCTCGTGCGTGCCACGCGGACCTCGGTGTTCATTCAGCAGCCGCACTTGCCTTTTTCGCCGCCACCGCAGGTGTCCATGTACTATCTGGTGGACCTGGAGCGGGGCCCCTATGGGTTTGGGCTGAAGCTGGACGGGGGCCGCGAGTTCAACCGCGACCTCACCATCGTGTCGCTCGCGCCCGACAGCCCCGCCATGCGCAGCGGCAAAATACAGGTGACGTCTCCCGTGCATGCAGCTGCCTCGGCTGCCGGATTGTGCATCTCCTGGGTCATGGATCTCCTCGGGTCCTTCAGAACCTTTGCCCTCGGTATCCTGGTTTCTTGATATCCCGCGTCCATGGTCTCCTGCGATCCCTGGCTTTGCTTTCATGACATCCCAGGTCTCGCCGTGCCCCCGTGGGGTGAGTATCACCTCGCAATCGAGTTCCCCGAGTCCCGCTCTGCGTCTCGTATCTCCCGGATGACGACGTCGGTGGCTGACGCGAGTCCCCGTGTCCCGCGCAGGTGGGGGACCGCATCATGGAGATCAACGGGGAGAGCAGCAAGGACATGACGTACCAGCGCGCGATCGACGCCATCAAGGCCAGCGGGCGGCGCGTACACCTGCTCCTCAAGCGACGCGGCGCGCCCGTCACAGACTACGGTTAGCGAGGACGCCCTCACCCACAGGCATCGCTCCGGTGGCGATGAGTACACGCGTACCGCACACACCTCCGTGCTCGGCAGCGCTCACCCGTGCTCACCACCCTGCTGCTGTTGCCGTAAGCGCTGTCGGCGAGCACCCATTAAGACGCGCGTAGCACATGAGAAGAGCGGAGCGGAAAACGCTCCACCGAGCCTTGCTCGGGACTGTCCTGCTTGGACGCGTTTGACCTCTCGGGGAGTTTGGATCGCTAGCACAATACTACACGTGAGGGTATAACACTGAAAGCTCCGTATAAACGAGTGAGCAACCGATTTTCTGTCCACTGGTCATCGTGCAGCCTCTTGCACGCACGAACGCTTGCGCGTCACTCCCATGCATGCATGAGTCCATCATCTGTGCGTCGGATAGTGAACTCGCCATGCAACCAATAGCGGCTGCATCACGGCGCCCTCCAAGGAGGAGACCTCACCCCATCGGATGACTAAAAGGAGGCTCCCCACTGTCCGTAGCGGTCATCCCAACACCGCTGAGCGAGAGAGATGGTGCCACTCGCAAATGAGATCCCTGTTACACAGTTTCCCAAGGTTCTGCTGCCTGTGCGGTTTAGAAGGCTATACTTTCTGACCTTTATGGCTCTCGGTACGCGGTCTAGGCTCTTGGTAAACGTTCAGGTCGATGTTCACATAGGTAACTCTTTTGAGCCTGCAAGGCATTGTGGATTGGTCCGTAACTCTGTGCCCTACTTGTGTACTCTTTACCGGTGTTCAGACACATTCCAGGCTTTTACGTCACCTTGGCATTGTGTGTAAAAAATATTCCTGTAGTGATTTTTGTAAATGTGTAAGCGTGCAATGTCTTTGGTGTGTGGGTATAATGTGCATGCTGAATAGAAATCTGCGGAAGTAATACTGTACTGTCAACACATCTGTAATCCAGCCCTGTGGATGCAGGGATGGTTGGCAAATTGCAGAACATTTCACAATTTGGTTGCCATCGCCTGGCTTCCGGCCAGGGTATGATGGCAGTACAGCAAGTTAATTAAATTCTATCTGTACGGGGATTGAGTCTTTTGCCCCCTCTCGCACACGTGGATTTTCGCCGGATTTCCGGTTTCCTCCGGCATGTATAAACACCAATTATTGGTGCGGGCCAAACATCCCATATCGGACCACAGAGTTTGGGCAATTGTTGGAGCCGATTCTGATGGTCTGCAGATTCCTGCGCGTGCGTGCAAACACTGCGCGCTTTAGGAACTCTGCAGCGTTTGAGACGCAATTTGCATAAATGCTTCCGCGATAAAAATTGTATTATTGTGCTCGACACCAGATTCCAGTTGCACCCTTCCAAGTGAAGCGCTGAAACTTTATTGACAGGAATCCATTGTTCCCACGTGCGATTAGGGAGTTGTCGCTTCCGCAGATTTATATCAGGGCTTGTTGAGAGACGCCACGTGGCGTCTGTGCACCCTCGCTCCCCCACTCTCTAACTCTGAATGTTGGGCTCTCCTTTGTCTCCCTTCAGGGGTGGTTCCTTCCCATCTCTTCATGTATTTGCAAAAATGACACAAGTACGAACCCCTTTGTTCCCTCCTCCTCTGGGCCTCCCTGGGCGAGACGGTTTGTAAATGTTTGCAAGCCTCGCGAGCTCCTTGAATGCACGCCTGTCCGCCCGCTCGCCTCGACGGCTCACTTGCATGCACACTCGTTCTTCTGCTCGCGAGCTTGCACACTTGTTCATCCTCTGTCTCGCTCACTCACTTGCTCATCTGCTCACTCGCTTGTACACTCGCTCACTCGGTCACAGTCACTTGCTTATCCGTTCTCCTGCTAATGCACTCACACACATCCTCATTCGTTCACTCACCTATTCAACAGTCTGCTCATCAGCTCTCTCACCCGCTCACTCGCTGTCTCCACTCACCTGGTCATCAGCCCAATCACCCACTCACTCCTGCATGGTCAACACCACCACCACCACCTCCTCCACAACTCTGGTGGCTCTGCTCAGTTGCTCCTGTTGAATTGAGATGGTGTGGCTCGGAGGGAGGGTCCTCGTGATGATCCTGCGCAGGTCACACACACGCAGCCTGGATTTTGTGTAGAGAGGTCGAGGCTGTTGCTTGGGCGAGGGACAGAAGTGCGCGGGAGGATGGATTACACTACAACAGGGTCTCTCAGTCGGTTCGTTTCACCATGGCCCTGAGTGAACAGCTCAACAGCAGCATCTTGGGATCCATTGATTACTTGACTTCTGTAGTGCTGGAAAGTCCATCTCCTGGCCCGTGCTGCTCACTCTGCCACAGACCTCCCAATATAAACAGTGCAGCATTCGCAGCCCTGCTGACCACGTGCTCCACGGAGCCCTTCAAAGGCCTGCCAATAGCCACGTGACCCAAAAGCCACCCTGTGGTGTATGTCACATGGCGTCTTATTATCAGGTGACCAATCATACATGCAGCACAGACACTGGAGATGCAGAGACGTCCAGGTCGGGGTGGGCGGTGCGTGTGGGCAGGAAGGAGACGGGAGGCAGCAGAGGGGTTGGAATTCCCCAGTGCTCACAGAGCCACGTGAAGGAGCACTCCCATCCTGGCATAGCACGCACAGCACACATACACAGCTCGCACAGCATGCAAACACACAGCACGCACAGCATGCAAACGCACAGCATGCAAACGCACAGCATGCAAACACACAGCACGCACAGCATGCAAACACACAGCACGCACAGCATGCAAACACAGCACGCACAGCATGCAAACACACAGCACGCACAGCATGCAAACACACAGCACGCACAGCATGCAAACACACAACACGCACAGCATGCAAACACAGCACGCACATATGCAGCACACACATTGCACGCATACAGCACACATATGCAGCACACACACAGCACGCATACAGCACACATATGCAGCACACACACAGCACGCATACAGCACACATATGCAGCACACACACAGCACGCATACAGCACACATACACAGCACGCATACAGCACACATACACAGCATGCATACAGCACGCATACAGCACACATACACAGCACGCATACAGCACACATACACAGCATGCACAGCACAGATATACCCTGTGCACACACAGAGCAAACTGAAAATAGTTTTCAGTCCACCCAGGTCTATTTAAACTGTACAGTAGAGCCTCGCCAAGGCGTGATATTGGTTCAAAATTAGTTTTCACGATGGTGCTGCGAATCACATTTAGCCATCGATTTTTTAAAAATCCCCACATAGGACTAGAAGCGTGCATCACCATGGCCAGTGCTGATTATGTAGGCACAGCGGCATATACGGTGAGGACAGCTGTTGGGAGAGTTGGCTGCAGTTCGATTGTTTCCCACAGGGATTCAGGCGGTGATAGTGGCACGGCATGGATCTCACCGAGATCGGGTGCTCAACAAAACGTGTTGGCATCCATCGGTCAAAACACATCATGGCTCCTGAAGCATGGTGAGAACCAGGTGGATCTCACCTGAGTTCATCGCCCGAGCCAACGGTGGAAATCCCTCGTTTATTTACCAAGGACCACATTTTGTTAGAAGGACGGGTAATGACCCCCTGTACCAAGCGCCGCTGTCGGTGCCGCTTGGTGCATCGCAGCACACGGCTCCCACCCCCGTGTGCCCCACCGCGGCACCACGATTGCAGCACGGGGCGCGCCCTAGCCCAGACTCCGTACGGCCAGGGCTCCATTAAACGGTTCCGTGTCGCGCCACCACACGCACTCGCTCGCTACTGCTGCGCTTGCCGGGTGCAGGCGTAGTGATGCGCAAGGCCCGGAGCCTCGCAGTTGCTGACGCGTGTAGGTAGGTCACACACTCGCCATTCGATCCGTTCTCGTAACTCAGCGGTTTTAGTGTTTGGTGCCACCCGGGCACCGGTCCGTTGCACGTTCGACCAGCGATGACTGCACGTCTAGCGTGGGTGGGTCATGTCTGTCGTAATAATGCCCTTGATATCACACCACTGGATTGTTGGATAGAGTTGATTCAAGTTTTGGGTTGAGATATTACAGTTGTAAGGATGTGTCACAGGGTCGTGTCGTAGGTTCGTATTGTGTTTTAGGAGTCATGTCGTGAAATCGTGTCATTGGGTTATTTCGTAGGTTTGTGTTGAGTCGTAGGGCCGTGTTGTAGTGTTGTGTAGTGTCATAGTGTTGTGTCGTAAAGCCGTGTCAGGGCCGTACGGTGTTGTAGGACCATATTGTAGGGTTCTGTTGTAGGGTCGAGCCACGTTCTAGGGCTGTGTTGTTGTGGGGTCGAGCCGTATTGTTGGGCTGCGTTGTAGGGTAGTGCCGTGTTGTAGGGTAGTGCCGTGCTGTAGGGTAGTGCCGTGACGTAGGGTAGTGCCGTGTTGTAGGGTAGTGCCGTGTTGTAGGGTAGTGCCGTGCTGTAGGGTAGTGCCGTGCTGTAGGGTAGTGCCGTGTTGTAGGGTAGTGCCGTGCTGTAGGGTAGTGCCGTGCTGTAGGGTAGTGCCGTGCTGTAGGGTAGTGCCGTGCTGTAGGGTAGTGCCGTGCTGTAGGGTAGTGCCGTGCTGTAGGGTAGTGCCGTGACGTAGGGTAGTGCCGTGCTGTAGGGTAGTGCCGTGCTGTAGGGTAGTGCCGTGCTGTAGGGTAGTGCCGTGCTGTAGGGTAGTGCCGTGCTGTAGGGTAGTGCCGTGACGTAGGGTAGTGCCGTGCTGTAGGGTAGTGCCGTGTTGTAGGGTAGTGCCGTGACGTAGGGTAGTGCCGTGTTGTAGGGTAGTGCCGTGTTGTAGGGTAGTGCCGTGTTGTAGGGTAGTGCCGTGTTGTAGGGTAGTGCCGTGCGTAGGGTAGTGCCGTGCTGTAGGGTAGTGCCGTGCTGTAGGGTAGTGCCGTGTTGTAGGGTAGTGCCGTGCGTAGGGTAGTGCCGTGCTGTAGGGTAGTGCCGTGTTGTAGGGTAGTGCCGTGTGTAGGGTAGTGCCGTGCCGTAGGGTAGTGCCGTGTGTAGGGTAGTGCCGTGTTGTAGGGTAGTGCCGTGCTGTAGGGTAGTGCCGTGTTGTAGGGTGTGCCGTGACGTAGGGTAGTGCCGTGTTGTAGGGTAGTGCCGTGTTGTAGGGTAGTGCCGTGTTGTAGGGTAGTGCCGTGTTGTAGGGTAGTGCCGTGACGTAGGGTAGTGCCGTGCTGTAGGGTAGTGCCGTGCTGTAGGGTAGTGCCGTGACGTAGGGTAGTGCCGTGTTGTAGGGTAGTGCCGTGTTGTAGGGTAGTGCCGTGTTGTAGGGTAGTGCCGTGTTGTAGGGTAGTGCCGTGTTGTAGGGTAGTGCCGTGACGTAGGGTAGTGCCGTGCTGTAGGGTAGTGCCGTGCTGTAGGGTAGTGCCGTGACGTAGGGTAGTGCCGTGTTGTAGGGTAGTGCCGTGTTGTAGGGTAGTGCCGTGTTGTAGGGTAGTGCCGTGTTGTAGGGTAGTGCCGTGTTGTAGGGTAGTGCCGTGACGTAGGGTAGTGCCGTGCTGTAGGGTAGTGCCGTGCTGTAGGGTAGTGCCGTGCTGTAGGGTAGTGCCGTGCCGTAGGGTAGTGCCGTGTTGTAGGGTAGTGCCGTGCTGTAGGGTAGTGCCGTGTTGTAGGGTAGTGCCGTGTTGTAGGGTAGTGCCGTGTTGTAGGGTAGTGCCGTGTTGTAGGGTAGTGCCGTGTTGTAGGGTAGTGCCGTGTTGTAGGGTAGTGCCGTGTTGTAGGGTAGTGCCGTGTTGTAGGGTAGTGCCGTGTTGTAGGGTAGTGCCGTGTTGTAGGGTAGTGCCGTGTTGTAGGGTAGTGCCGTGTTGTAGGGTAGTGCCGTGTTGTAGGGTAGTGCCGTGCTGTAGGGTAGTGCCGTGCTGTAGGGTAGTGCCGTGCCGTAGGGTAGTGCCGTGTTGTAGGGTAGTGCCGTGTTGTAGGGTAGTGCCGTGCTGTAGGGTAGTGCCGTGCCGTAGGGTAGTGCCGTGTTGTAGGGTAGTGCCGTGTTGTAGGGTAGTGCCGTGTTGTAGGGTAGTGCCGTGCTGTAGGGTAGTGCCGTGCCGTAGGGTAGTGCCGTGTTGTAGGGTAGTGCCGTGTTGTAGGGTAGTGCCGTGCTGTAGGGTAGTGCCGTGCCGTAGGGTAGTGCCGTGTTGTAGGGTAGTGCCGTGCTGTAGGGTAGTGCCGTGCCGTAGGGTAGTGCCGTGTTGTAGGGTAGTGCCGTGCTGTAGGGTAGTGCCGTGCCGTAGGGTAGTGCCGTGTTGTAGGGTAGTGCCGTGTTGTAGGGTAGTGCCGTGCTGTAGGGTAGTGCCGTGCCGTAGGGTAGTGCCGTGTTGTAGGGTAGTGCCGTGCTGTAGGGTAGTGCCGTGCCGTAGGGTAGTGCCGTGTTGTAGGGTAGTGCCGTGCTGTAGGGTAGTGCCGTGTTGTAGGGTAGTGCCGTGCTGTAGGGTAGTGCCGTGTTGTAGGGTAGTGCCGTGACGTAGGGTAGTGCCGTGTTGTAGGGTAGTGCCGTGCTGTAGGGTAGTGCCGTGTTGTAGGGTAGTGCCGTGCTGTAGGGTAGTGCCGTGTTGTAGGGTAGTGCCGTGCCGTAGGGTAGTGCCGTGCTGTAGGGTAGTGCCGTGCTGTAGGGTAGTGCCGTGTTGTAGGGTAGTGCCGTGCTGTAGGGTAGTGCCGTGTTGTAGGGTAGTGCCGTGTTGTAGGGTAGTGCCGTGTTGTAGGGTAGTGCCGTGCTGTAGGGTAGTGCCGTGTTGTAGGGTAGTGCCGTGCTGTAGGGTAGTGCCGTGTTGTAGGGTAGTGCCGTGCTGTAGGGTAGTGCCGTGCTGTAGGGTAGTGCCGTGACGTAGGGTAGTGCCGTGTTGTAGGGTAGTGCCGTGTTGTAGGGTAGTGCCGTGTTGTAGGGTAGTGCCGTGTTGTAGGGTAGTGCCGTGTTGTAGGGTAGTGCCGTGTTGTAGGGTAGTGCCGTGCTGTAGGGTAGTGCCGTGCCGTAGGGTAGTGCCGTGTTGTAGGGTAGTGCCGTGCTGTAGGGTAGTGCCGTGCCGTAGGGTAGTGCCGTGTTGTAGGGTAGTGCCGTGCTGTAGGGTAGTGCCGTGCCGTAGGGTAGTGCCGTGTTGTAGGGTAGTGCCGTGTTGTAGGGTAGTGCCGTGCTGTAGGGTAGTGCCGTGCCGTAGGGTAGTGCCGTGTTGTAGGGTAGTGCCGTGCTGTAGGGTAGTGCCGTGCCGTAGGGTAGTGCCGTGTTGTAGGGTAGTGCCGTGCTGTAGGGTAGTGCCGTGTTGTAGGGTAGTGCCGTGCTGTAGGGTAGTGCCGTGTTGTAGGGTAGTGCCGTGACGTAGGGTAGTGCCGTGTTGTAGGGTAGTGCCGTGCTGTAGGGTAGTGCCGTGTTGTAGGGTAGTGCCGTGCTGTAGGGTAGTGCCGTGTTGTAGGGTAGTGCCGTGCCGTAGGGTAGTGCCGTGCTGTAGGGTAGTGCCGTGCTGTAGGGTAGTGCCGTGTTGTAGGGTAGTGCCGTGCTGTAGGGTAGTGCCGTGTTGTAGGGTAGTGCCGTGTTGTAGGGTAGTGCCGTGTTGTAGGGTAGTGCCGTGCTGTAGGGTAGTGCCGTGTTGTAGGGTAGTGCCGTGCTGTAGGGTAGTGCCGTGTTGTAGGGTAGTGCCGTGCTGTAGGGTAGTGCCGTGCTGTAGGGTAGTGCCGTGACGTAGGGTAGTGCCGTGTTGTAGGGTAGTGCCGTGCTGTAGGGTAGTGCCGTGCTGTAGGGTAGTGCCGTGTTGTAGGGTAGTGCCGTGCTGTAGGGTAGTGCCGTGTTGTAGGGTAGTGCCGTGCTGTAGGGTAGGGTAGTGCCGTGCTGTAGGGTAGTGCTGTGCTGTAGGGTAGTGCCGTGCTGTAGGGTAGTGCCGTGCTGTAGGGTAGTGCCGTGCTGTAGGGTAGTGCCGTGCCGTAGGGTAGTGCCGTGTTGTAGGGTAGTGCCGTGTTGTAGGGTAGTGCCGTGTCGTAGTGCTGTGTCGTAGGGCCTGGTTGTAGGGCTGTGTTGCGTGGCGCTTCGGCGCCAGTTTTGGCCTCGTGAACTCACGGTATCCGCTCTCTGTGTTGCAGATCCCAACTCCTCGCGGAGCCCAACGGCTCCTCGCCGCGCCACCTTCGGCTCGCCGGCCACCTCGGTCCCCACCGGCGCCGGCGGCGGCTCCACGCTGCCCCCCCGCGTGGAGCGCGGCGCCGACCCCCACGCGGCCCGGCTCCATGCGCGCGAGCGCGTGAGAGACAGGGAGAGGGAGGCCGAGGCGAGAGAGCGACAGTGGGAGGAGAGACAGCAGGAGAGAGAATGGCAGCAGGAGAGAGAACGGGAGAGGGAACGGGAGAAGGAGCGGGAACGGGAGCGGGAACGGGAGCGGGAACGGGAGCGGGAGCGGGAGAGTGTGCGGCAGGAGAGAGAGTTGATGGAGAGGGAGCAGGAGAGGCTGAGGATCGCTCGGGGCAAGGAGCAAGACGGCGTTGTAGCCAGCAAGTCGAGCGTGCAGGATGAGGTCGACCACCAGTCGGTGAAGTATGTTGGAAAGCAGCAGCAGCTCCGGCCCCCCAGGGAGAAGACCGCGGACGCGCTGGACGCTGCCGCACAACGCGTGGAGCCGAGCAACGGTGGCGGCGGTCATCCACGGAGGACGGAGGCCGGGCCAGAGACGGAGTCGCCGCCGGGCCCGGGGTCGGCGGAGCGAGGCGACGCGAGGCCTCGCGTGGACAGCGCGAGCTCGGGCTGGACCGACGATGGCACGGGCCGCAGGACCCTGGCGCCGGGGCCCTGGAAGGTGCCGGCCTCCGACAAGTACCCGGCTCCGCTGAAATCGTCACGTGGGAAAGCGAGCAGGAAGTGAGGCGCCAGGTCGATCGGCGCCGCTCGGCAGCGGTGGTGCTCAGAGACAGCGACAGCCGCCCGCCCGTGCATTGACACGGAGGACCCAAGGGCGTGTGGCCACTGATCAGAATTTAACTTTTTTTGTACAAGTCTGGGGAATGTCACCGTGCGTTGTGTCGCCATGGCCTCTGTTGAAGTGATGTGATTACTGTGGCTACAAGGGCTAAGCAGTGTGAGTGAAGCGGTTCATTGTGGGTACAGCACTGCTGATGACTGCCACGGGGACTGCACCATCCCTGCTCTCCCTCAAGAGTTTGACTCCATCTCCCCACCCGGACCCCTGAAGACGCCGCCGGTTCCCCTCTGCGTCCACCCTCTCTGTCGCAAGACTTCGCAGGCTCAGGGAGACCGCAAGAGTCCCAAACGAGGCTCCGCTGTCGTCTCGGTCACGTGGCCCACTCGGCACGCGTCCCGTCATCTGCAGTGATGGGGGGAGCGGTCGTTTCTGGTTTTCACAGATACTGCGTGAGAAGGCAAAGTCACACAATTATCACAACCTCAACAATCTTTACTCGAACGCTCGAATCATTCCACAGGGTCCCACGGCCTTTCGTGGGGGAGGTGAAATGCGCTCCGCGTCCGTGAGCGCCTTCCCCTTCACAGCGCCCGGCCGTCTCGCCGCTCGTCATCGCCACGAATTCTTCATCAGCGTCCGGCGGCGGGTGTCGAGGTGTCGTGCTCCCTGCGTGACGCCCGCGGCCAAGTTAGGCAAGGGATGGTCTCCCTGCGCCATGCGTGGTGAGGTTGGCACAGCAGAGCGCCGATCTCCGTCGCCGTCCTCACAACCGTGGCGCACCGGCCGGACCGAGACGAGGATTGTCGCTTCCATCTGGGATTTCGGAAGGGGGGGGGGGGGCTTCCCAGAAAATGTCGAATTTTTCTTAAAATAAAAAATAATAGTAAGCAGAAGCAGCTCCTCTGAGATGCAGTTCTACTTTACATTAATAATACACATAAGCAGATGGGAAATATAAACCTGTCACTAAGAAATTTTAGCAAATATGCACGTGACATTTTCTATGCTTTGTGGAAACTAACTCAATACAGAGTTGATTTAGAACTCAAGGGATTCACACTAATAACGCAGTAAGCAATGGGAAGTGATGTAAGTTGATTTACAGATGTGAATCTCTGTACGGCAGTTGCAGCCCAGGATGCGTGTGGATTGGCTCGCTATCATTGTGATTGGCTGATTCAGAGAAGGCAGGAAGAGACTCTCACCCCCTCCTTGGGCAATGTCACCTGGTACAGTGGAGCTGTTTGCCTCGCTCCACGCAGGAGGCGGTGAGAGCCATCGGACTCCCGAAGGATGGCACCATCGTGGACCAGAGGAAGTCTGCGTAGCTCCGTGTGCGACGCACGTCACTGTGGTTGTGACGGATCGGCCGATCCTATGCTCAAGTGCATGTACATGTCCATGTCCGTGCGTGTGTATGCGTGTGCCCATCGGGCAAGCCCATGTGCACATTTCTGACATTTTATCAGAAAGTGCTGCTTCCTTTAAAGAACTGGCCTGGCCCGTTCGTTTCTATTCTGTATGGAGATGGTTTTTATGAAATAATGCACGCACTGAGACGGTGGTTATAAACAATAGTAGCATTTGCACTGAGTGCGCGTGAGACGCTTGACGAGACTGAGGCCTCGGTTTAACGAGCGACGCAGGTGGGGGGCACGGCAGTCAACGCTCCCGGCGTCACGTGTGGACGCGCGGGTCCCCTGGGGAGGTCACCAATGGGACTCGTGTCCACTACGCCAACCGTGGTCACACGGGGTCCGCGTGTGCAAGCAACAACAGCAGCAGCTGTTTACGACGATCAGCTCCACGCTACCTCAATCGCCTGTTCACTGGCACAGGTGCTCGCACTCGGAGTGGGCTTGCTTTGGCCAGCACGCCCGTTCAAACGGCGTCCATTCACTTACGGCGTCAGCGTGATTTTATCCGATCAATTGCACAGAGCTCAAACGTGTTCCTGTGTGGACTCGTCGTACAATGTCCCACTGCACCTTGCATTTGAGCGTTTGGCCTTGAGAGGGTCATTGTTACGGCATAAACAATGATCGGTCAAATAGCATGGTTTCCCGCACTTCTGATTAGCACAGTTGGCTATGTATGGTGCGAAAGAAGTTCATACCAGTTGACTGGTTTATAATTTATTTGGGACTCTGCTACCCTTCCACCAAACTGTTCAGAGAACATCCGCTCCCACTCACACTGGGGATTTAAAAGTTTGAATTGACATCTCCTTAATTCTGATTAAAGAAGCGGGGCGAGGTTTTCTCCAGCCACTGAGAATTGTCATCAACTGGAAAAACTATTCAAGAACACGGCGTCAGCTGCAGATGCCGGACTTTCAATCCCACTTAACGGGACACCCAGTCGCTCACCGAACGTTTAAGTAATTTAAAAAGGGATTTATTAAATAGCTCAAGTAACATGAATTCCTTTAGCCGAGCAGTTCTCTGTATAAACAGAACCCTTTGCGCAGTTTTGACAGAAGTGATCCTCATCAGCAAGGTGTCACCTGTGAACTTGTGAAGAGCCCTAACACTCGGCCATTTCGCGAGGCTCCTGCAGCCTATCGAAATCCGTTGCTGCTGCATGTTTCAAGTTAATTTTGTTGAACCAGTTGAGAATCCAAGAGACCAGTTTGAGTCTCAATTGAAAGTAACCCGGGGCATTAGTCTCCCAGTACGGCCACGATTGCTGCATGCGATCCAAATTGAGTAATTTGCGGTGTCTTTTTTTCACCCTGACGCCAGCACACAATGGCCTACTCTTTGCGAATGACAGGGGATCTTTGACGTCGACCGATAAGCAGAATGCGCGTATTATTACAGTTTCCACCAGCAGTAATAACCAGGGCGGCCACTGGATGCAAAACGGAACCTGTGCAAAAAGCGGCACATGCGCCACCCCTTGACCACCTGTACAACTAATTTGTTTGGCAAAAGATGACGAGGCAACGTCTTCTGAATAACTTACCGAGTTATGGAATGGAAAGAAAATTATTAACAATTCAGGCCCAAGCCTTGCTGATGAGAAGCAATGATGTCCAAACATGATCAGTGATGCCGGGTTTTGGGAATTCTTTGTATTATTTCCAAAGTGTAAAAGTATATCATCTGGATCCTAGGTTAAGCCACTGCACTTGGCCCCTGTTTAGGTGGCGAGGTTTTGTCCGGCGAGTTCCTCAAGTGCTGTGTGAGCCGTGTGAGACGATCCGGGGTCGGTGTGAGCTGCCCCTGGCAGAGTGTTGGCCGTAGACTCGTGCACGGTTCCGCGTAGCGTCCGCTGCAGTTTGCTCTCCTCTCGGAATCGGCTCTGGGGATTGCACATTCCGAGCAGTTGTCGTGGTCCTCTAAATGCACCACTCTCGCTTTGATGGGAGCGCCAGGCCTCTCGTTTCGTGGAACCGCAGCTCGCTCCCACGTGGTGTCTCTTGTGGGGCGAGGGCGGCGAGCTAGGGAGGGCGGAGGCGACGAAAGAGCGCCTTCTCAAAGTTCTCTGGAGGTTTGACAATTGGCGACTTGGTGCACAGCGTAGTCGTGGCCAAAGGTGGCACTGTGAAGGATGTGAATGCACCGCTCTTGTGGGGTGATGACGACAATCAACGTGTAAAAGCTTTATCTCATAAACTCGAGCCATGCCCCCCCCCCCCTTTTTTTCTTCCAGCAAAGCCTTCTGGTCGCGCAATTCCCCGTTCTCTCGCGCCGTGGCCTCCGTTCCACGCGACCGCATCTTCTCCGCACAGTGCGAGGCTCCGATCTCAGATGCGGTTGCGACGCATTGTTTTTTTCCCAGCGCGGTTTTATGTCTGCAAGCGTGCGCGCTTGTGTGTGTGCGCGCAAACACACCCACGAGTGTGGTTTGGCTCCAAAATGCAGAGACGGCAGCACTTGGACATGCTCTTGAGACAACGAGCATAGTTTTGTTATGGAGTCTCTCCCGTTGCTTAACGCGCATTCAGTATGCGGCGAGTACTAAAATTGCACTTTACAAGGTGACGTGCTGCCTTGGAAATGTCTGGTATGGGAGTGCGATTCCAGCCGAGGCAAACTACAGAGCCGAGCAGCTCAGCACCGTGCCACGTTCACGCGTCGGGCCACGCCGATTTAACAAGTCGCGCTTTGAGATCACGAACATTCCTGGGCGCACCTCCCCACCCCCCACAGGCATCATGACCATGCGTGGACCCTGCATGCGCCACCTCGGTGGATTCACTTGCTGCGTTGACCATATTGATTCTAAAGCAACGGAACCCTTGAGTGTCGCTTCTGCTGCTGTTGCTGCTGCCAGGGCCACGAGGATGGGGTCAACCGAAGGGCATCGCTTATTCCTTGCCACTCGTCCACCCGACCCTGTCCCTCGCACCAACATTCCGATCGTTTCTCCCACGCTGAATGGGAAAAGCAGCGGCCACTGGGTTGCTAGGTATGGTCGTCACCTGTCAGGATTTGACCTGGACATTCTGGCAAATGGAAACGCAGTCTGGAAAAGGTGGTAACCCAAGTGCTAGGCCTGGCTGACACATGTATTAAGCGGAAAGCTCCCTTAATGGACACGGATTTAGACAACGAAGGGAATTCCTCATTTGAGTTTTTTTTCATATTCTGCATAAACACCGTGGGAATGGTTCTCTTGACCACACTGGGGTATGGCGAGCGGGTGGTGATGCTGAAGCCCTGAGCACAGCTCACGCAAGGGGGAAGCACACTGAGTGACGTGCAGCTGTAGCCCAACACCACCACTGTCGCACATCCACACCTAGGTAGGGTCCTTCCTCGTGTCCCTTGTATATTATTCCTACCATGGTACTCGTTGTTTATACTCTCCGTATACTGCATATGCATGTAACGAAGGTACGGCGTGAACGACAATTTGGAACTTGAGATTTTTACATGTCCACGAGTTGGCGTTAACGTGATTGCGCGCTGTATCGAGCGGGGCGGCGCCGTGCGGCCCCGGGGGTCACCACCCACAGCACCGTGGCACGCGCCCCGTCGGGAAACGGCCAAGGGGACATTTTCCCTCCTTGTGGGGGCCACCGTACCCTGCTGGTCCTCTGGGCTGCATGGGCACCGGCGCTGTGGATTTGTGGTGCCCCAGGCATAGGGTGGGGGGGCCCCTGTGCTGTGGGGAGGCACACGAGGAAGTTGTTCTGCTTGCCCTTGAATGCGCATTGTGGATTTTGGTAAGAATCGTATGTGCAAACACTTTATATGAATGGTTAATGCTCGTGTGCGCTGCTGCCCAGGGTGGTGCATCCGGTGTCCTATCGTGCAGGATGGCAGCGTTAGGATCTGGCGAAGTTTATTCCATAACGGTACAAGGTGTGGGACGCTAACTGTTGAATTCTTATATTGATTACGTATATATTACAAAAGGACTGGATTCCTTGAAAAATCTCATTATATTCATAGGTGAATAGACCAAATATGTTATGTTTATTTGTTTAATGAAGAGTGTTTTTAATGTTTTGTATGGCAGCTGGTAAGTTTATATTTGAAACAATGGAAATTCTGATGATTTTGAGTAAATATATAAACAAAGAATATTTTATGCTAAAAAGTTATACCCAAAATGCAACTTAGTGGTGTTACCGGGGCTGTGATCCATGCAAACGCTACAACCACTGATTTCTTATTCCAAGCCATCGTTTTCCAACTTAAATTTGCTAACCCATCTTGAGCAGGCAGGCGGTGAGCCACTGCGTTTAGAGGTCACCGAGTGCGGGTCTGGTCGGGGGAGTGTGTGGGACCGGCTCTACCTGCACTTGTATTCACTTGCATTCACTCGCCGCGTCTGCAGCCTTCTGGCTCCTACTCGCCTGCCTCGCCGCGCAAACCGGCAGCAGCAGCAGAAGGTGCCTTTGGCAATCAGCACAGGTGTGCCACGGTCCGCGCAGCTGTGTTTACACGAGGGCGCCAGGCCACAACGGACATGCTCTCAACCAAACCAATTCTAACTGGGGTTTGTTTAGGTTTAGAAAGCCCTGTCAAAGTCCATCCCCTTACGCCACCACTGCCCATACCCACGTGGTTTTATGTTTATACGACCACAATCTCGAATTCGGACATGCCACTTGTAGTAATCTTCCGTTGAATCTTGTTTTTTTTTTTAAAGCAAAAGTCCTACAAAATGTCCACCCGACAGAGAACCTCCCTGATGTAAGGAAGCCCTGGTAATTTCTCTGCCTGACCGTCGACCTTCCCTCCCTGTCTTCCCTGGAAACGCTAAGTCCTCCCGTCACACCAGAAGCTGCTTTAGGGCTGCCAAGCGTTTGTCTCCAGTCCACGTTGAGAACTGAAGCTGCAATTCCATTGCACGTTCTGATCAAGTCGGTGTTCCGAAGCGCCCTCGTGTAGGCACAGCTTTTAGTCTCATGGAACTGTACGATCGCACTGCTTTATGCAAATGTTTTCTCCCGGTACTCTGGTGTGCTCGCGACACAAACATGTAAAAAGAAAATTCGCTCGCGTCTCAATTGGTACACGGATAAAGAATTGCCTAGCCCTGCGAGGCTTCCCAGGGTCATCCGCAACTTGTATTTAACTTGTATTTAACTTGCATCCTGTATTCACACTAATCACTCTGGACATGCGTGGGGGAGGGGGGGCATTGCAGGTTATGGACACACATTTCTTTAAAGCGACCAAAATTACGTGTACAGTTTAAATGGTTTTCTCTTCAATTGTTACATTTTCCGTTTACAAGACCCACCTGCAGACTGCACTGGTAGAGTGTCATCTTTTGCAAACTCCTTACAGGTCACAGCCTTGCACCCTAATATATTTTTACTGTTATTTACCGAGTGTATTCTGTATACATGGACCCAAGCTTACGGAGTGATGAATTATTTGAAATGCGCAATCTCGTCTGCTCTGGTTTAGTTTTGTGTATACGGATTAAACTTCACTCTCGGACAGCGCGCTATTTCCCCACTCGTTTATTAATTTCGCGGCTTTACAGCGCGGAAGTGACAGGCCCAGCGCTGCCCGTGCTGTGCTGAGGCCGGCGGGTCAGCTCAACGCAGGTCCGCCGATTTGTAAATCAGATGCTGCAAACGGAAGCATCCTGGAGAACTTGACGATGCACAAAAGCGCCATTGTCCATAAAATACCAAGGATGGTTAAGTGTGGAGAGGTGCAAGAAAATTACGAAGAGTGGATTTCACCCTCGCTGATGAAGCCACGACGTAAAATCAAATGTGGGATAGAAGTTTTGTTTTTTGCAGGACACCGCTTAAATATTGATTTGAATCTCAAGTCAACATTGTGAGTGCACTGAGAACAGCGGACTGAACCTGGTCGTAATCAAAGCAATGAATTAATGAGGCAAAAGACAGCAGGCTGTTGCACTTTTGTAAATCCGAACTTGACAATGAAAATAAGACCAATGTGCACAAAGGCTGCTTTTAACGAGGCCAGACTACCCGCTGACATCAATCAAAAACATCATGAACAAAATGGAACAGAAATGTAAAACTAAGATATATGTACGATTGGAATAACATTCAGGGACAAAAAGAGGAACACGCGATTCGGGGAACATTCACAGGTCCGTCTCCCCGACAGACCTGGTCTTCACCTGAGGACGGCTGCTTGCGTTGTGGCCGAAACGTCATGAGAATTATTTTATGTTTTATTTTATTATTTCCCTTCTACGTGACTTTACCGAAAGAACCAAGAAGATTCACAGGTTATTGGAGACATCCTCCAAACCCGTTGACAAAAGTGGATTTGGGCAGGACGCATCGCGAGAAGGTACAATTTCCAGTGGTCAAAAATTACGGAGTGGCAATGGAGGAATGGAGTGCATCTGAGGGGGAGGTCCATGGCGATAGAGCAGTAAAACCAGTTCTTGTGCAGGTGTCAGGTTATTAGATGGCAGGATCACGAGAGATGGCAGCTTTGAGGCCTTCATCAGCGAATTACCATGACTGGTGATGGGGAAGCACTCTTAACTGAAACTCATTACTGAGAATGAGCGTTTTAATATCGCGTCATTCATCCAAGCTGCATATCACAACACCAGCGTAATCCGCAAACATGGAGGTGCATATAGATTAAGATGTTTTGGCCAGTCAATGATAATGTTTGAGAGTAAACTCGAGCACTGCACGAGGGGGTAACACTCCATCCGATACAGATGAGATATATTTGTTCACATTTTGCTGTACCGCATATTCCTTGATGCCTACAGGAAGAGAGTTTCGCAAAATGTCGTGCAATCCACCAACCCTCGCTGCCTCCATAGTGTTGGATTACAGGCCATGTGCGTTGCCACTGCCATCACCTGGTTAGTTGGCAATCATAATTCAAACAATTAACAAAAACGGTGATTTATCTTTAGAAGACCTGAACACACGAGGAATTCATGAAAAAGTACACGTGGGTTGCAGGTCTTTCCCCTACCACAAAATATAAAAGATCCCCCATATCGCCTTCACTAATGGGGAAGCGTTATCGAGCAGACTAGTGCACATGCGTGGACACCTGCACCAGGTACTCATTTATGGCTGAGTCGACCTAGAGATTAAAAACCGGTTCAGATATTTGTCACTGATGTTGGCTATGAGTGGGAATCGAACCCGGTTCTCCAGGTCCTTAACGCAGTGCGCTAACCGCTACACTACTGCTCCACGCACGATCGCATTCACATACACGCTGCTCCCCCATCCTGGCGACGCTCAGTAGAGCTTGAGGTGTCCCGTGACGCGGTCGACAGCGCCGGCGGGGCCGGGTCCGACCCCCAGCACCGTGCACGTCCCTGGCGCTACCTGCGTGCGCCCGGCGTCGCGCACCAGCGACACGGGGAGGCCCAGGGCGCGCGCGTGCGCCAGCAGCTCGGCCAGACCGACCTCGTCCGGCACGCGCGTCACCACCTTGGCCTGACCGCCCAGCTCCCAATGGCGCAGGGCGTCAGCGTGGCGCGCGCCCGCCTGGCGGAACGCCGAGACGGCCGCGTGCGCGCACTGCGCCGCCACCTTGCCCTTGCCCATCTTGAGGTCGGAGCGCACGACCAGCACAAGCTTCCACTCCCCGCCCTCGCTCATCACCTCCGCCGAGTCGCCTGCTCCCTGGGCTCCCTCCGCAGAAGGGTGCCCGCTGCTGCCCCCCGTAGCCGAACCCGGACGGGCGCCGCGGCCTCGCAATAGCAGGCAGAGGCAGAATCCGCACCCGAGGCCGGTGAGGAGAGAGAGCGTCACGGGGGATGTCAGCACGTCCATCCTGTGCAACAGCAGCACGCACTGGGGTCGTCACTATTTCCACAGACCGAGCCGAGCTGCTGGCTCCGTTGTTGTTGGAGGGCGACTACCTCCAACTGCGAGGGGCTGGTAACCCCTCCACCTTCAATAAATTACCACTAAACCACGACTAAAACACAAGTATATATACATTTCTATTGAAGGCTTTCGTGACTGCAGGGATTCATCTTCTTGGTTCTTTCGGTAAAGTCACGTAGAAGGGAAATAATAAAATAATAAAACATAATAAAATAATTCTCACGACGTTTCGGCCACAACGCAAGCAGCCGTCCTCAGGTGAAGAACAGGTCTGTCGGGAAGACAGCGTCTGAATGGGCACCACCATGCTTGGCACCACCAGGCTTGGCAGCGTGTATATATACACAATACACGCAATATATACACACACACACGCAATTGTTACACATCCCATGAGCCACGCGGCTCTTCCTCCTGTGAGCGCATCACTTCAGCAGCATTGGTTCAGAACAAGCAGACGCAGGGAGGCACCACCACCACAGTGGCCATGCACTCGCTCCGTCACTCCAGACCAGAGGTCGCAAACGGGTTTTGATTCCTTACCCGTACCCGGCCGCACCAGGGTCGCAAACGGGTACCCGTACCTGTACCCGGCCGGGTACGGGTACCCGTTCCCTACCTGTACCCTACCCGAAATGAGTGACAAACGGTTACTCAACAGTGACTCACGGCCTACCCGTACCCGGCCGCACCAGGGTGGGTACGGGTAGCCGGGTATCGGGTAGGGTACGGGTATCGGGTACCCGGTTGCGACCTCTGCTCCAGACGCAGTCACGGGGCCCATCAAACCGCCTCGACGCTACAAGTTGAGCTGTCGCTCGCCAGCCACGCCGGCCACGCGAACACAACACGTGCCGCACCGACACCGGCATTCAGCGTCTCGTCAGCAGCGGCAGAGCCAAGCCTGCTTGAAACAATAGCCAGATGCGTGTGTAACATTATACAACGGCGCAGCAACAGCAACACGGGAACGCAGTGAAACTCACTGTACAGCGCTCCCTCTCACTGTACCCGCCCTGGTGACGTCATCAGCCAAGCCCTTCTCTGAGTTCGCGGCCGTGACGTCACGCGCGGTAATGACGTCATCCCAAAGTGTGCTGTGTGACGTCACGTCACGCACGGTAATGACGTTACGTCACGCAACGGTAACGATGTCATCCCAAACTGTGCTGTGTGACGTCACGTCTCGCAAGGGGCTGCACGCGCTGAGCTCTGATTGGACGCGAGGGCAGGCAGGGGGGGGGGGGCTCGTCACCTTGACGACGCAGCGGGTGCGGACACAGCACGTGCCTCGGCTCGTTTGTAGGGACCTGCACACGCGTGTACACAGCACTATGGGGCCGTCCATAAATGACGTCACGCACCTGGGGGGGTCAGACATTTGTGACGATGTGTGACGAGAGGGGGGGGGGGTTCGAGAAATGTGACGTCACATCAAAATGCGCAACTTTAAATAAATATAGACAACACGTTCTACTTAATTAAATAGACTTTTTAATAAATGTTTTCTCCTACAACATCAGAGTGCAGCGCCACATTAAATACGCACTACAATGACAATATTTATAAAGCGACTTGAAGCATTATTTATTTGGGGGGGGGGGGGCAGACCTTTGTGACGTCATATTTGAGGGGGGGTCTGACTCTTGTGACGCCTGAGGACGACCGCTTGTGTTGCGATCGAAACGTCGTGATTTAATTTATTTCATACCTACGTGACTTTACCGAAAGAACCAAAGAGTATGGATCCCTGCAGTCAAGAAAACTTCTAATCTAGATTGTCTCTATCTCTCTGCGGAAACATTACGGAGTGGCCAAAGCAACCGGCCTGGGGCATGCCGGTTACGCACGTGTGGTCAATGTTGAGAGCAGTCTCGGCGTGGAGTCCCGGCACATTCACACTACTGCTCGCGTGAAGAATGTCTCAAAAATAATTGTCCACATTTCTGTGAACAGTTACTCATTGTAACAAAAACATTCTCAACCATCAACACTGCACTAAAGTCATTTGCCCTCTACTTGAGTTATTCCCCCCCGAGTTGATATACGTTTAACCAACAGTCTGGGCGGTGTTTATGGTCTGTGGTGTCCAATCATCATCATCTTCAAAAAAGCCAATTCAAATTCGGGAGTATCGTTTTGTTTGTACAGCGCTACGAGATGTTGTTATTAAAGACGTTTCATAAAATCAAGATTATAATTGCCAATTACCAATCGCTTACCATCACCCCCCCCCCCAAGGACGATAAAATGAGCAGTGTACGATGAAGCTGCACTGCATGTTTCAGTTTTTCAGGTTTCATTTATTAGGTAAGAGCCCTGTGAGCCATTCGGCTCTTGAATCGGGTGCAAACACAACAAACAAAAACAAGAAAACATCTTAAAGTGACTATGCACAAACACAAAAATGATCATGTTAGCAATGTGCCAGTGGTTAAGATATTCCATGGCATGTCGTCTAAAAATGTTGAATGTTCCACCTCCGGAATTTAAAGGTAAACTGGGCCCTCTCGAGTGGCTTTTGACAGTGGCGCATTGCCATGCCCCATCGACGGGAACCTCCCCATGTGTCACCTGGCACTACTGCCGTGAATGGAGACGTCGCTATCACAGTCCGTGTTGCTACCAAGAACTGCACGGGAGACCTGCGAGGCGGACTAATGCTCCGTCTAACACGGCACAGGGACAATGTCCTTGACTCTCGCATTTCCTTCCCGGAGCACCGAATCCTTGTCCCACACCTCTTTATAAATACCTATCTCCTCTCCCGCCAATACGTTTCTTTTGGGGTTTTCACCAAATCCCCAACTCGTTATTTTACAAGACGTGGACCCCACAACAGAACAACTACCCCTATAACACTGGTCAACACACGTTTTCTGGCATAAGGTATTTCAACGGTTTTAAGGTAATTTTGGGATGCTGATTCCAAATCTGGCATCAGTTTTTGTCAATCACATCAGGTTTTTGAGATATCAAATATTGCATTTTCAATAAAATCTGCAGAAGAAAAATATTAAATAAATGTGGATATCTACATAAAATGATATTATAAACACACTATCCTAAAACTACAGCACCATATTTTAACACTAAAGCAGTCACTGACTCGCAACAACTTGCAATCATAAGTGACAGAGTTAATTTCGGGTAAAATCAATGAAAATGGGGTATGCCGATAGCATAAAAATGAGATGTGGTAGAGCAAATCTGAGATCAGATTTGGAATCAGCACCCTGAAATTAGTCTAAAACAGCTGCAAAAGTCCAGGCCAGAAAAAAATGTTTTTTGTTGTTGACCAGTGTAATCATCATAGCCCATGGATGACACGATCACAGCGCCGTGCCTCTGTGAATCCCCGCCCACGTGAGTGTGTGGCTTGCGCGCGTGTTCGCCGCGGTCTCTCGTAACAACGCGACTCGTTCGTCGTTCGGGGACCCCTCCCCTCCCGCCCGTTGTTCGTCGCGGTCCCTCACCTCTCACCCCGAATCGTCACCGTGCCGGGTCGAACAGCAGCAGCAGCGGCGGCGGCGTTGGTGAGTTCCCTTCTCTGCTGACTTCCCTCCTCTCTCTCTGCTGCTGTTGTTGTTGTTGTTCTCTCATCAGCGCGAATCACCTCTCCCCGTAGCTTGCCAATGAATTACGCGAGCGGCAATTACACGGATCGTGTCAGCCGCTTCCAAATGGCGGAATGACCGTCGTGTCGAGGTCGCCGCGCTCTGTCCCCCTCCGCCGTCCATCGCCGGCGTCTCTCTCTCTGTTGGCGCTCTCGGTACCCGGCGTGTCACCACGCGCCTCACACCCGGGGGGGGCTTGCACGCCGCTGTTGTGTGTGTAGAGTGCCGTGTGGTGGTGTCTCCGTGTGTCTCTGTGTGTAGAGTGCCGTGTGGTGGTGTATCCGTGTGTCTCTGTGTGTCTCTGTGTGTGTGTACAGTGCCGGCTGGTGGTGTATCCGTGTGTCTCTGTGTGTGTGTCTCTGTGTGTGTGTAGAGTGCCGTGTGTCTCTGTGTGTCTCTGTGTGTGTGTAGAGTGCCGTGTGGTGGTGTATCCGTGTGTCTCTGTGTGTCTTTGTGTGTTGGTAGAGTGCCGTGTGGTGGTGTCTCCGTGTGTCTCTGTGTGTCTCTGTGTGTGTGTAGAGTGCCGTGTGTCTCTGTGTGTCTCTGTGTGTGTGTAGAGTGCCGTGTGTATCTGTGTGTCTCTGTGTGTGTGTAGAGTGCCGGCTGGTGGTGTATCCGTGTGTCTCTGTGTGTGTGTCTCTGTGTGTGTGTCTCTGTGTGTGTAGAGTGCCGGCTGGTGGTGTCTCTGTGTGTCTCTTTGTGTCTGGGTGTGTCTCTGTGTGTGTAGAGTGCCGGCTGGTGGTGTCTCTGTGTGTCTCTGTGTGTCTGTGTGTGTCTCTGTGTGTGCAGAGTGCCGGCTCGTGGTGTATCCGTGTGTCTCCGTGTCGTCTCCGTGTGTCTCTGTGTGTGTGTGTGGCGTTATCTGTGTGTATCCGTGTGTCTCTGTGTGTGTGTAGAGTGCCGGCTGGTGTCGTCTCCGTGTGTCTCTGTGTGTCTGTGTGTGTGCAGAGTGCCGGCTGGTGGTGTATCCTTGTGTCTCCGTGTGTCTGTGTGTGTGTAGAGTGCCGGCTGGTGGTGTCTCTGTGTGTCTCTGTGTGTGTGTAGAGTGCCGTGTGGTGGTGTATCTGTGTGTCTCTGTGTGTCTCTGTGTGTGTAGAGTGCCGTGTGGTGGTGTATCTGTGTGTCTCTGTGTGTGTGTAGAGTGCCGGCTGGTGGTGTCTCTGTGTGTCTCTGTGTGTGTGTAGAGTGCCGTGTGGTGGTGTATCTGTGTGTCTCTGTGTGTGTGTAGAGTGCCGTGTGATGGTGTATCTGTGTGTCTCTGTGTGTGTGTAGAGTGCCGGCTGGTGTCGTCTCCGTGTGTCTCTGTGTGTGTGTGTCGTTATCTGTGTGCGGGTGTCTACGACCAGCTGCGAGTTCCTCTTTAAGGTGATGATTGCTGCGCCGCATGACGACTGACGGACGGGGAGGGAGTCACTACGCACGGACAGTCTCACTCGCACAACAACAACAACAGCAGCCGACATAAGCCACTAAGTGGCCGTGACGTCACCACGACGCTTGTGCCAGGCTAGGTGCACGTTGAGGTCACGTGAAGTGTCGAACGCCCGCTGGCAGGAGGTCACGGGGCAGACCCAGCAGGTGCCACGGGTCGACTGACTGAGATGACCGAGATGACTGGCACATGCACCACCGGTGCCCTCTAACTGTGCCAACTCGATGTGCTTTAGCCACCCGGCGCTCCGCTCGTTGTTGTGAGCGTCGCTCCTCCGCCCTCCGTTGTTGTTGGAGGGCGACTGCCTCCAACTGCTCAGTAGCGTCCTTCACGAGCCTCCTCCACTGAGGCCGATCTTGACACCGCTGGTACCGGTCATCGGCAAGTCCACTCGGCTAGTCTCACTCGCCGACACTGTATCAGCGACAAAGATCCCCCCCATATCTAGCCCTTCACGGACTTTTGGGGAAAGTTTGCGAGCGTATGAAGGCCGGTACGGCTCACGAGGTGGTGGGTGACCACCGCCTTTGTCGCCCCAGTAGCGATGCTTACACAGATGATTAAGTACTCATTTGAGGCAGAGTCGACCTAGGAGAGGCCCAGACAATCGTCATCGGTGTTGGCCTTGAACTGGGACTCGAACTCGGGTGACCGTGTTCGTAGCGCAGACGCGCTAACCGCTACACTACCGCTCCCCATTCGCTCCACTATACTCACACAGACACTCACACAGACACTCACACAGGCACATACGTGCACACACAAGAAGCACAACAACAGCCGACATTCGCCACTAAGTGGCCGTGATGTCACCACGACGCTTGTGCCAGGCCATGTGCACCTTGAGGCCACGTGAAGTGTCGAACGCCCGCTGGCAGGAGGTCATGGGGCAGACCCAGGTGCCATGGGTTGATTGAGATGACTGGCAGATTTCACTAAATTAAAAACTACAACTATTTATATTTTTACAGGTAAGGCCCACTGAGCTATACAACTTTTTGAGAAGCAACCTGGCCGCATATGATAGCTCAGCTAAGTTCCGTATGATGTTGAAATGTTAAGCAGCCAAATACTGTAAGGGGCCGTCCATAAATGACGTCACGCACCTGGGGAGGTGGGTCAGACATATGTGACGATGTGTGACGATGGGGGGTGGTTTGAGAAATATGACGTCACATCATAATGCGCAACTTTAAATAAATATAGACAACACGTTCTACTTAATTAAATAGACTTTTAAAATAAATGTTTTCTCCTACAACATCAGAGTGCAGCGCCACATTAAATACGCACGACAATTCCAATAGTTTAAAGCGATTTGAAGCATGTTTTATACTTTTCTTTGGGGGGGGAAGCATGTTTTATACTTATTTGGGGAGGGGCAGAGCTTTGTGACGTCGTATTTGAGGGGGGGGTCTGACTTTATATGATGCCGTGTGACAAAGGGGGGGGGGGGGGTCAAAAATCGTCAAAAATCACGTGACGTCATTTATGGACGGCCCCTAAACGCGCATTTAGTGTATTTGTTGAAATATAGAGGGAAAAACCGGATGAGCCGGAGAAAAATCCACGCGACCACAGGGAGAACATTCAAATTCCAAATTTCCAGGCGTCACGGTCGGGATCCAACCCACAACCTCGTGTATATCAGGCGAGGTCGTTCTATCGCCACTGCGGTGCCCCTGATGCACCAAATATGCTCCCTACTGTGCCAAATTGCTCTGTTTTAGCCTTCCGGCGCTCCGCTCGTGAGCGTCGCTCCTCTGCCCTCCACTGTTGTTGGAGGGCGACTGCCTCCAACTGCTCAGTAGCGTCCTTCACGAGCCTCCTCCCGAGACGCCGATCTTGACACCACTGGTACCAGTCATCGGAAAGTCCAATCAGCTCCACATCCTCCTGTACCACATCAGCCAATCTCTGCTATAGGCCGTACTGCGCCCGTTGTATGTATGTTGAACTTCTTTCGCGCCGTACGTAGCCAATCGTGCTAATCGGAGGTGCGGGGGAAACAACAAACTCAACACATAAAAGACTTAATGAAGAAATTCGTTTTAAATCTACATTTAAAAGTGCATAACTCCAGTGGCTTCCTAATATTGGAAGGAAGAGCGTTCCAGACGGCCGCAGAAGCGCATCTCAAAGCGTGCGTCTTTGTTCGATGGCTAGGCAAAAGTCGCTGCGAGGATGACCAGAGTTAATGTGATAGTTTATGTTCCTTGAGGAGGACGGATCACCAGATCATCCTTCAAATCCTACGGAACCCATCCTGTGGTCCAGACAGTTGTGATTATATCATGTAGAGCAGTCTGCAGGCAAACGCCACCCTTCATGATAACGTTTTTTGGGTTAGGTCGCTGTTACTCCAACACCTACTGCTACTGCACTTTGGATGTACTCGCTGCTGTCAATTACAGTGTTCACTCTGTTTGTGTTTTACAGAGCGATCGCTGCCGGTTTAAGTTGTTCATTCAGCTATGGCACTTGAATAGCGCTATCCCAGAGGGGAGAGAGGAGAGGAGGCGGACGAGTACAACTTAGGTGGCACAGAGCCCAGCCTCGTCCCGACTCAGGCGCTCCGCACATCAAGCTGCGTCGACTGCACGGGAGCCAAGGCCGTACCCACATGGCCGTACCTCACAGTGGAGCCACGGTCTCTGGGCTTGCAGAGCGGCATCTCCACTGAGGCCACTGCCGATTTCGCGAAGCCACCGGCGGCGTGGAACCGAGAGGACGGAGTGAGTCAGGGAGGCCCTGCACCGAGACCAGGTGACGTTATCCCTAAGGTGAAGGGTCGTGCAGAACCTCCTGTCCTTCCATGCCTTGGAGGTTGGGATGGGAGGTGTGGAATGGGTGTGGGGTTTTGCGGCTGGGATTGGCGATAAGGCCGCAAACCATTAAGTAATTCATAGATTGAATGTTGGTTCGAGCATCGGTGAGAGCTGCAGTATGTATTTTTATCTTCTGTCATACCGTACATAGCCAACCTTGCTAATCCTTGGGGCAGGGTCTGCAGGAGGCAGAGAGACAAGGAGGCCTCAGCAGGCTGCCTGCAGATTGCAAAGCGGTGTGAATACTCATCATTCCCTGTGATTCGATGAATTGTCACAATGCAGAGTTGTGGTCTGATTCAAGAATCCATTATCTTTTTACATCGTGAAAGCAGCTACCACTGGTCCCTCCAAGGGTCACATAAACCCATTATATACAACATATATTATGTATACAATCATAGTTAGCTGTTCGTCAGTGTTGGCTATGGGGTTTGTTTGCAGGTTGGTTAACAGGAAACCCCACAACCATTTCAGACTTCACTTGGCAATGATGTAAGTCATGGCCGGGAATCAAACTCAGGTATCCAGGTTCACAGAGCATTGTGCTAACCGCTGCCCGGCTGCTTTTTCCATACAACAGATAGGAATGGGAAAACATCAACGCGTTATTAGTTTTAATATTCATACATCGATTAAAAGTTCCAACCTCCTAGTAATGGAGGTTTGGGTTTTCTCTGGCCACTCAAGTTTTTTGTTACATTTACAAAATGTACTATGCAGGAAACTGATTTCATTAACATTTTCAGTAGCCCTGAGACTCAATAAAGCTTTCCTAAGTAAATGTCTCTAAATGAAAATCGTTGTTGCTAGTGTAGTTAATTTTGTTTTTCAAGTGCTGTGGTAAATGTGTATTTTGGCTTTTTGCTTTCCATTGGGTTGCAATTATGCCATGGGTATTAAGTCACGAGACTACTTTCCACCCTAAACTCTTCACAGTGAGTCGTGTAGTGTTACATTGTGTCCTGAACTCTCACAGTAAAGGGCGCAGTGTTACATCGTGGGGCAACATGGCGCTGAGATGTTTTCTCCCTTACCTGGTATGCAGGAGTAAGTGGGTTTGATCACAACCCTGAAGCCTGTATATTTGGAAATTGCATGTTCTCCCCGTGGTCACGTGGATTTTTCTTCATGTTCTCCGCTTTTTCGCTCCACTTGTAGAGACATGCGTTTAGATAATTTGGCTGCGACTATACATTCCTACATGTGATAAGCCACTCGTTGAGTTATCATTTGTGACCAGGTCGCTTCTGATAAAGTTAATGGCTCAGTGGGCTTTACCTGGTAAATATAATAGTTTAGTTTCAAATAGTTTAGTTTACATCGTGTCCTAAACGCTCACAGCGAGCGGAGCAGTGTCACATCGTGTCCTGAACCCTCACAGAGAGGGGTGCAGTGTCACATCATGTCCTGAACCCTCACAGCGAGGGGTGCAGTGTCACATCGTGTCAGAAAACAGCTTTGGAAGATTACCTCAGCACCACAGTTGAAGTCCTTTCACTAGGCCTCTTATCCACACTCAGGGTAAAAGGATCTGTGTTTATTAAGTGCTTAACTGCCACTGTATCTCCAAACGCTTACAAAACACAAGCTACAGCAATCACTTGGGCAAAAGAGCAAAGGAGAGCGTTCTGATTTTGATATTGTGTCCAGGTTTAACTCGATTTAGTTGTATGCAATTACCGTTGTGTTCAGACGCTGTGGCTAGTTTTGATGATATTTGATGTGTCCTCTGTGCTATTCGCTGTAGATAATTGTTCCTGTACAGTGTGTAGTATCCTTCCAGTATTAATGTTCCACATGAATATAAATTATTGTTATTATTCGAGAGGGGAAAAGACAACAGATTACGACAGTAAGGGACATTACAGATGCAAGGCTAAAGGGCAATCCACGCAAACCAGGTCACATCAGTCACTGCTAAGACCCTCAGCATTAAGGTGATAGTGCAGAGGTGACTCTCATGCCTCGTGGCATAAAGTATCTGGGTTCGATTCCCGACTCGTGACCTCCTGCCAGCGGGCGTTCGACACTTCACGTGGCCTCAAGGTGCACATGGCCTGGCACAAGCGTCGTGGTGACATCACGGCCACTTAGTGGCGAATGTCGGCTGTTGTTGTGCTTCTTGTGTGTGCACGTATGTGCCTGTGTGAGTGTCTGTGTGAGTGTCTGTGTGAGTATAGTGGAGCGAATGGGGAGCGGTAGTGTAGCGGTTAGCGCGTCTGCGCTACGAACACGGTCACCCGAGTTCGAGTCCCGTTCAAGGCCAACACCGATGACGATTGTCTGGGCCTCCCCTAGGTCGACTCTGCCTTTCTTTGTGGAGTCTGTTCTTTTCCCCTGTTCTGCATGGTTTACCTCCAGCGTCTCTGCTGTCCTCCTATAGCATAAACCATACGGCGTAACTGGTATTGGCAAAACATCCCAATGCCGAAAAATCAGCTGCAAATTACTCTGTTGGGATGACACACAGCAGCAACATCGTCCCCCCTACTGCTAAAACTTGTCAGGACCCTCCTGAAAAAGAGTTGAGACTCGGCGAGGCTTTCCTGGACAAACCCAACAGAAAAATAATAACACAAATTAGAGTCCAGCAACAAGAGAGAACTAAATGACTGCCCTAATCTGCTGTCCAGGCACCCCCACTCAATCAGCACCACCCATTCTCACCGACCACCACCCACCCACGCCACCACCCTGCTGTCAGTGGCAAGGCCTAGCAGAGTCTCGCTGTCATTGGCACAGGCTATTGGCAAGGTGGGGCAATGTGAGCAGTTGGACAGGTCTCTCCGTGAGAGATGCTCAAGATTGAAATAAGTAGGATGAAACTGGATAGATGGTGGAAAGCCCAGGAGATTCCCCTGCACACTCTTTTGTGATGTACCAGCGGCAGATCCTGGGGTCCCCGTGCCACCCACACACTGCCGTAATGCAACTGGGCAGGCCCTGGGATCAGACGCAATGGCAGTGATAAGGGTGAGGGCCAGCAATGACCAGTGTGGTGATGTTTGATTTAACAACGCCCACGACCAACTGTGGATTGATAAAAGGGCTGAAAATCTTTATTATAAAACATTCTATTGTGTTCCAGAAACGCCCGTTACACATTTACATGTAGGAATGCCGTTGTGGGTTTGGTGAGATTTTGAACAATGAAACCTTCTGTGTTGAGTTCACCACCAGAGCCTGTTATAGCAGCTCGGCACGTGGTGGCTGGGAGGAGGCGCGGGTCGCGCCAAAGGAAGCAGTGCCATGGGCGTCCAATTCAACCAACACTCCACGTGACGCTGGTCACAATGATCACAACCATGAATCCCTCGGTGCCTCCCCTGCCGTCTTTAGCTGGCAAACTAATCGAAGACCCGGCGCAGCAATGAGCCGGCTTCGGCGTGCAGTAATTTCCAGGTCATTTTTCAGCATTGGGATGTTTGGCCAACAGCAGTTACACTATACTCTTTGGTTCTTTCGGTAAAGTCACGTAGGTATAAAATAAATCACGACGTTTCGGGCACAACACAAGCGTCCGTCATCAGGTGGGAAAGCATGGTCTGCTGCTGAGGCAGACTGTTTTAAACGGTGACGGAGCTTGTGTTGCGCCCGTAACGTCGTGATTTATTTTATACCCACGTGACTTTACCGAAAGAACCAAAGAGTATGGATTCCTGCAGTCACGAAAGCTTCAAACCAGTTACACTGTATGGGGTTTTTTTAGCTCTGGGAGGAAACCAGAGAACCTGGAGGAAACTCATGCAGAATAGGGGGAGAGAGAATGTACAAACCCCATGCAGAAAGATGCTCCAATCAGGAATCGAACCCAGGAATGTATTTCTGTCAGAAACGAGTGTTACCATGGCACCACCACCCTTGCTATTGGACGAGTTCATTCTGAGTGCCTGCAGCTGTCATATTGAGATATCTTGCACTGCCAAGCAAACACCTACATGTATCGTAAATGTCTCACCCTTCTGTAATGCCATCTCCCAACAACGTGGGGCAAAGCGGAGCACAGTTTGAGGTGGGTAGTGGTGAAGAGACAGTTCCGCATTTTACGAGCGGTGCCAGATGCAGACTAAACTCTCTATTGTATGGAATTTAAAAATAAACTGGCAAAACATAGCCACGTGTTGAATCTGGTAAACCATGCGATGGCATCGGGAGCTGCTTGATGCACAGCGTTTGTTCCTCTTTATGTAAGCTTGTAATGGGCAGTGCTGGTTTATGTGATGAGCAGATTGCACTTAACCAGATTCACAACATGGAACCTCTTTCATTCTCCAATTGTGAAGGAAATAGCAACTGCTGCCATGCATTATGCACGGACTCATTGAAGCTCTCGTGAAGTGCCATCGCATGGATTGCCAGATTCAACACTCGGCTATAATATTTTGGCAGTTGCTTTTCAAATGCCATACAATAGAGAGCAATTAGTCTGCATTTGGCACCGCCCGTAAAATGCAGAGCTGGCTCTTCATCACCGCCGACCACAAACTGGGCTCCGCTCTGCCCTACGTTGTTGGGAGATTAGAGAAACAGTGAGACGGGTATGATACAATTCGGTGCTTGCTTGGCAGTATAAGAGATCTAAATACGCAACTGAAAACTGTACTGCCATGAGAACCATCAGCGCAGCATGGCGATTTGCGATTTGACACGCGTGTCCTGCATGTCCTCGTGTAGACGTGCTGCCCGCAACGATGGCGACTCTGCCGCAGGGCAATGGGCACGTCCCCGGCGAGGCCCCCGTGCCCTGCATCTGCGTTGCGCTCACGAGTCCCCCTGTGCCCAACTGCGTGGCGCCCATGTGTGCGAGGGGCGATGACGCCCATCTCGAGGAGGTCCCGGGTTTTGGCGAGAAGGTGAGCACAACGCTCGGTGCCGCGCGCCCATCTGTCCTTCCGTGCGTGCTTGTCAGCCGATGGCGCGCACGTCACATGGCTCGGTGTGAGCGTGGAGGCTGTCGGGTGCTACACAAATACACTTTGAGGACATAATGTGGCAGTTTACCTTGGAATCTCCTACCCTTTATTCGAGGTGAGGCATTGCTCGTGGAGTGGCCGGACCTGTATATTTAACAGGGAAAGTGCAAAATCACCGACTGCCTTGCACGTGTGTAATGTGTGCACGTGTGCACGTGTGCTTGACTCGTGTGTAATGTGTACACAATCGTGCTCTCGCCTGGCATTGTACAGTGGGGAGATGTTGACCCCCCGGGGGGTGACGCGGTGGCGAGCAGTGCGCCGCACTCACGGTCTCCGACCTCGCTGCCCGTGACCTCTGAGGGAACCGTGCACCGATCACACTGCACTGCCCAGGACGGGCAGGAGAAGGCGGTGGAGGCGGAGGAGGACATGGGGGTCCTCGCGGTGCCGCCCAGCTGCGCCGAGGGTCTCCCCGGCAGCCTGGCCCCTCCGGGCCCCGCGGACGGAAGCCCCAGCCGTTCGGAGAGCCCCGCTCCGGGTGAGTGCGTGAGCGGTGCGCGCTCGCTTGCCCCGCTCAGCCGGAGCGGGGCTCTCCGAGCGGCTGGGGCAAGCGAGAGCACGCCGCTCTGCTGTTGCTCCCGGCCAACCACAGCGGCGACGCGCCCGCCCTCACCCTGTGGACACTCCCATCCATGCCTACCTTCTCCACCTCAGTCTGCTCTCTTGCCTGCGCTCCCCACACTCACAACCAAGGACCCCTATTAATAGCCCCCGTCATCTTAATTCAGTCGGAGGTCGCTGATTCTCTTCTGGTGTCGCCCGTTTCTAGATCATCCTGACTCTGGCTGTTTGCATCGCTGCCTCCTCCCCTTGTTCGGTTTCCTTTTTAAATCCTTTATATTAAGTTCGCTTGCTTGCTTGCGTGCTTGCTTGCTTAGGACCGTGCAAATCTTTCGGTCGTTTTTTAACCTACTTCCCGTGATCCAATCGAGCTGACATTTTCCACACAGACTCGTTGTGCCAGACAATTATTGTTCGTGAAAAAAAATTCCCAAAATTTTACACTTTTTAGGCAAAATTTTTTTATTTTACATATATTGAAATAGAACTCATTCTTGGCTTTGGCTGAACGTCACAGTATAAGAGCCCAGAGCGTAACCCCTCCACAGGCCGTGGCGGAGTAGCGCAGTTGGTAGCGCCCTCGCTTCCCATGCCAAAGGTCGTGAGATCGATCCCCGCGTCCTCCACAGGCGAATATATTTTTAAATCCTTTATATTAAGTTCGCTTGCTTGCTTAGGACCGTGCAAATCTTTCGCTCGTTTTTTAACCCACTTCCCGTGATCTAATCGAGCTGACATTTTCCACACAGACTCGTTGTGTGTGACAATTAATTTTTGTGAAAAAAAGAAAATGCCAATTTTTACACTGTTTAGGGAAAACAAATTAAATATTTAATTACCAATTGCTTAATGGTGGCAGACAATCATCTGACCCATAGGTGGCAGCCATCTCAAGCCAGAGGACGAGAGGACTCTAGCCGCCACGCATATAAAGGATTTATTGTGAAAAACTTTGTTTTTACGGGTTTACTTGTTTGCCTCTAAAGTTTACTTTTCTTGACCCCACAATCCCTTTACCATCTCTTCTGCTTTGTATGCTCATGTTCACTCTGCTGCCACCAACTACCATTAGATGTCCATCTTCTCTGCGCGTCATCTTGAGATACCCATATTTGATAAATAATGTGCTTTACATTCTAAAAGAGACCTTGCTGTTACCCGACTCAATAGTGTCAATGCCGGCGGAGTGGTTTAGGAGTCCTGAATCATTTCTGTTGTAGCAGGAGCCCCAGTCATTGGTGCTTGTGCTTGTGCGAGGCAGTACAGCAAGTCGTTTTGTGGTAGCAGGACCCTCCATATAAAATCCCTGAGGTTCGGTGAGGCTCTAAATCGGTCAGGTATTACGTGTCCTTGTGTAACTGTAATATCCAAGGGTACCCTTTCAGATTATTCACTAAAACAACCCTTCGTGATCGTGTTATCAGTGTAGCGACGCGTGATGCAATGTGGCAGAGGAGGAGCACATGCAGCTGTAGTTTTCGGAACCCACGCTCCCCACACACCGTGGGCCGTGGGCGGAGGGCATCTCACTGCCTCCCTGGCCCCTGGCTACCGGCCCATGCCACACGACCATGTGGATGTTGTAGCGAGCTGTCAGGATGTGACAGGAAGCCGTCAGGGTGTGTGGTAGTGTGCCATCAAGGTGTGACAGTGAGCCATCAGGGTTTGATATAGTGGACTGTAAGAGTGTGATGGTGAGCTGTCAGGGTGTGGTAGTAAGCTGCTTGGGTGTGATAGTGAGCTGTAAGGGTGTTCTAGTGCGTTATCTGGGTGTCGTAGTGAGTTGTCAGGGTGTCGTAGTGAGTTGCCAGGGTGTTGTAGTGAGTCGCTAGTGTATGATAGTGATCTGTAAGGGTGTTGTAGTAAGCTGTCATGGAGTTGTAGTGAGCCGTAAGGTTGTTGTAGTGAGTTGTTAGGGTGTTGTAGTGAGTTGTTAGGGTGTGCGGTTGTGTGTCGTGCGTCTCACTTGGCGCGTCATTCCCACTTCCCGCCAGGCGCCATGCATCACGAGCGGAGCTCCATGTTCCTCACCGTCAAGACGTACGCCGATCTGCTGGGTTGCGACGATCCCGGGGACGCGCAGCCCGGAGCGACCGCCGCCGGTGACGGCAGCGCCCGGCAACCACGCGACGCGGCGTCTGTCGCGGTGCGGCCGATGGCGCCTCTCGGCGACCACACAGACGGCACGGTGGCGCGGTGAGGGACGCCGGCGCGCACGGACTCCTTTCTCCCACTCTCCACGTGGTGCACAGCCACTGGCCGTGTGTTTGTAATCCGGTCTCGACGCTCACACGTCTCATACAAATGAGATGTAAAACTTTTTTTCTGTGTTTTTACAGTGATATTCCCCCCTTGCGTTGTGGGCATCACACCACGACGTGAAGAATCCCTAGGGAAATCTCCCGTTTGTTTGAGGATGGCCCCCAGACGCATGTTTTCTATACATTATTGTGTGATCCCTTCGAATTACCCTATTATTCCGCACTCCAAAGCGGTTCATTTTCCTCCACTCTGCTAAGCGAGATATTTTTGTCCTATAACAGTCAAACCAATATTTTCAATTCTCAGATCCGTAATGTATTACATTTTTTATGAAAAACCAAAATTAATCAAATGATTTCGTATCTCTATTGTTGCCTGGGTTGAGACCATCAACTCGCGACACTTGAAAACCCACTCGTTAGTTTAATCACGGGTGGCTGAAATCCAGTAGTGTTGTGTCAATCCTGTCATATGAGAGCCACCTGGCTACCGACCAGAAGAGGAACGCCAGTGGCCATTATAACTCAAGGGACATCGGCAGTCAAACGCTAGACATTTGATCGTTCCCCTTTGCATCTCAGCATGAACTGGTGAAACACCGGTTCATTTCGTCCTGGCTGTGCCCTGTTTGGCGTAGCTGTGTCCGCGTGCACGCAGGCCGCTCGAAGCGGACCAGTTGGGCCGCATCAACGCTCTCGTTTCCGCAGGCCCGAGGGTGGCGATGCCGCCGCCGGTGACGACGACGACGACGACGACGCGGGCATCGTGATCAGCCCCCACGACGCCGACTTCTTGTCGGAGTCGGACGTCTCGTCGGAGCGCGACGCGGCCAATGGCGCCGAGTCGGACTCGGCAACGGTGGCGGCGGCGGAAGAGGAGGCGGCGTCGCGGGACGGCGAGGACGTGACGAGTGCCGAGTGGAGGCAGCACCGCAAGCACATCTTCGTGCTCAGCGAGGCGGGGAAGCCCATCTACTCGCGGCACGGCAGCGAGGAGGCGCTCTCCTCCATCATGGGCGTCATGCTCGCGCTCGTCTCCTTCGTGCAGGCCAGCCGCAACGCCATCCGCTCCATACACACAGGTGACGAGGACGCACGCCCTGCGACGCACGTTGATGTGCTGGCACGCGAGCTGTACTGGGGTTGTCGGTTGGGCCATGAGAGTCGTGACGATTTCAGGAGGATCCTGCCCAGATTTTAAAGTAGGGGGTGAGGATGGCCACGTAGATGCCTAATCCTAACCCTAATATAGTTAAACCACTGTAATATTGACCGCGAAAGCCTACGTGTTAAACTAAACCACTAATATTGACCGCGAAAGCCTACGTGTTAAACTAAACCACTGTAATATTGACCGCGAAAGCCTACGTGTTAAACTAAACCACTGTAATATTGACCGCGAAAGCCTACGTGTTAAACTAAACCACTGTAATATTGACCGCGAAAGCCTACGTGTTAAACTAAACCACTGTAATATTGACCGCGAAAGCCTACGTGTTAAACTAAACCACTGTAATATTGACCGCGAAAGCCTACGTGTTAAACTAAACCACTGTAATATTGACCGCGAAAGCCTACGTGTTAAACTAAACCACTGTAATATTGACCGCGAAAGCCTACGTGTTAAACTAAACCACTGTAATATTGACCGCGAAAGCCTACGTGTTAAACTAAACCACTGTAATATTGACCGCGAAAGCCTACGTGTTAAACTAAACCACTGTAATATTGACCGCGAAAGCCTACGTGTTAAACTAAACCACTGGAGTCTGCACTCCCTCAACGAAGGAGGAGGAACAGCAAAGCTACTGATGCCCTCTCATGACAAGTACACCCCAACATTGGCATCTAGCTCCTGAACATATTGTCATTCACAAGTATAGAATAGTGTTGTTTTGTTTTTGCGCAGTTGTGGCATCAATATTGGTACTTATGTCCATATCCTCGCCGTTTCCCGGCACGCAGGCACGCACGTCGTCGTGTTCCTGCAGCGGGGCCCGCTGGTGCTGGTGGCCGTGTCACGCAGCCGCCAGTCGGAGCAGCAGCTGGCGCAAGAGCTGCAGTATGTCTACAGCCAGATCCTGAGCGTGCTCACGGCTACGCAACTCAACCGCGTCTTCCAGAATAAGCAGAGCTACGACCTGCGCCGCCTGCTCGCCGGCACGGAGCGCTTCCTCGACAGCCTGCTGGACCTCATGGAGACCGACCCCTGCTTCTTGCTGTCGGCTGTGCGTTGCCTGCCGCTTCCCGGCTCCCTGCGTGACTCCGTCAGCCAGAGCCTGCAGCAGGCCAAGGACAAGGACTTGGTGTTCTCCGTCATCCTGGCCAAGAACCACCTAGTGGGTACCAGTCACTGCGGAGTTCAGCATGGATCTCGAGCCGAATGTCTCCCTAGTATTTGCGTGTGGGATGAAATTCCTCATCGAATGATCAATAACCTACTTACGATGCTGTTGCCTCCTGGCCCCCTCGTATCCTCACACGTTGTGCATGCCACACTCTTGATGAAGTCTGCAGGTCCACCAGTCCCACCACAAAGCTTTAGAAGACAGCCCTGGCATCACCAAGCCAGAGGCTTCTTCACTGCCCTGTGCTTGTGTGTTTGGCTGCACGCGTGTACATGTGCACGTGTGTATGAGAGTGGTGGCGCAGCGGTTATCGCAATGTGCTACAGCCCTGTGAGTGATATCTGAACTGGTCCTGGGCCTTCCCTAAGTCGACTTAAATTAATACCTGATACGGTTTGTACTAAACATGACTACTTAAGAGACAAAGAGGTTCAGGCGTACTGCTTGCCACGCCTCCGCTTGTGCGCCTTGCCGACCTTAATAGGTGCTCACTAACAGCGCTTGCCCCAGCGGTCTTTCAAAGGGTACACGGGGGGGGATCTTTGTCTCTTGCGCAGGTGAGCATGGTGCGCCTGAAGGAGCAATCGCTGCACCCGGCCGACCTGCACCTGCTGCTGAACCTGGTGAGCGCATCGCGAACCTCGTTCAGCGAGGGCGAGGTGTGGCTGCCCATCTGCCTGCCACAATTCAACTTCGTCGGGCTTCTTCTACGCGCACGTCTCTTACCTGGACGACGCCTGCAACCTGTGCCTGCTGCTGCTGTGCGCCGACCGCGAGGCCTTCTTCACTGCCTCCGACTGCCGGCGCCGCGCGCTAGAGCGCATGCGGCGGCAGGACGCGCTGAGCGGAGTGCTGGCGGCGCTAGGCAGCGACTCGTACAGCGTGGCGCAGACCGGCATCCCGGACCTGCGCCACTTCATGTACAAGTGCCGCAGCACCTCGCAGTTCACCAGGTGAGAGCGGGTGGGGAGGGGGTCACAGCGCCGGTGCAAGGCGATTTGCACAGCGACTGAATGCATTCGATACGGTCCATGCCTAACGCGTTGGCTTTCGTAGCCGATATGATTCATAATTAAATTATAATATTCGCCTTACTAACAGCACTTGCCCCAAAGTCTGTTAAGGCTATACGGGGGACCTTTGTGTGTGTGTGTGTGTGTGTATCCGTGCGTGTCTCAGCCCTGAGCTGGAGGCCCCGTACTGCTCGGCTGAGTCGAGGCAGCGACTCTTTGACCTCTACCAGCAGCTGCACGGGCGCGTGCACAACGCGGCCCGGCCGCTGAAGCTCATCTACCACGTGCGCCAGCAGGAGACGCTGCTCGCCTGGGTGAGTGCTAACTGGAGGCACACGTGGGGGCATCCTCCGTGGCCTCGCGCTGCCGCCCGGTCACTCGCGGGTCACTCCGATGCTTGATGAGGGCCGCCACATGCAGCAAGGGTCGTGGCGGCCATGTAACAAAATCTCGCTCTGCTGGTTGGTGATGGCGGGTGGCGTAGATTCCGGACCATAAATGGAAAGTACAACAGCGGATTTTGCCACGCCGCTCTACGCCCACCAACGCACACAGCGATTGATCCGGGCACTCTCCAGGCTCAACCCCGCTTATCTTCTTAGATATGATGAGATTGGGTGCATTCCAGGTGATGTGGTCATGGGCACAAACTTTATACACTCTCCATAACCTCTCATTCATCCGTTTTGTTCTCACATGTAATTATCTCGCAGTGTAAATGCAGGGCTCACGATTGATGTCCGAGTACCGAACCAGCGCAGCACAGGTCCCGGTGTGGTTCCACGCCATCGCTGGGCTCCAGCGGGCCTCAGCGACAACACAAGAAATCGTCATGACACACGCATTGTCGAATACATATTGTAGAATACACATTGTGGAATACACAATGCATCCAGAGGATTGGGGGTTCACTCAACCATAAACATTGTGCAGTGAGAAAAAGCATTCTGGGCAATGAAATAAACATACGGACAAACGTGCGTGCTCGAGGACTGATGAGTAGAGCACTCGCGATAGAGTGAGCTGCAGGTACCGTGGGGAGGACTATTGAGATTTCTCTTCAAATGACTGGCCGACTGCCATTCATTGCCACAGAGGTCGATCTCCCTCAAGTTTATCACAATACGGTCAACGTAGGAAGTGTACGACCATCACGTTAGTCACGGTTCAGATGAACGTCTTCAACGTACAACTGCTGTGAAGTGTGTGTGTGCTTAACGTACTTTTTAAAAGCACCTTCCTGGTTAATAAAGCTCAGTTACAACAGTGTGATAGTTACAGCGATGCTCTCGATGCCCGCGTGTGTGCCGCGCAGGTGACGAGCGGTTTCGAACTGTACACCTGCTTCAGCCCTCTGGTCACCAAGGCGGCGGCCATCAACGCCATCACCAAGCTGCTTCGCTGGATCAAGAAGGAGGAGGAGCGCCTCTTCATCATGAACCCCCTCACCTACTGACGCGGCCGCCCGACTCGCGTCGTTGACGTCGCCCCCCGTCCTCCGCCCCGCCGTCTTCCGTGAAGACGCCCCCAGCAGGACGGTGCGCGCTGCGCGTTTTGTAAAAGCCGGGGCACCGCGGACGCCGTGTTCGGCGGCGAGAGCACGGGTTTAGACGGTGCCCCCTCATGCTAGTGCTTGAGGCATCGTCGGAGCGGCATGACGAGGGAGGCGGTGGTTCATCGCAAGGTCCGTCATCTTATGCTCACGTCCACGGTATCGCTGGGTTGCGCCTATCTGCTTTGCCGGCGTCGTGCGTTCTTTCACAGAGAGGCATCGAGACGCCGTTGGATTGGCGCCACCACGGTCCTGCATGGCGACTTCCCGGGGAAATGCTACGCACGCCTATAAATCATTCACACTTCACTTGCAGGAGCAACCCAAACAGCAGTGTGCAACAAACTGCGGACGCAACTAAGCCGTGCGTCATCGGTCACCTGACACGAGTGCAATGAATCGCTACTGGGGAGGGGTATGCTTTGTTAAGTGGAAATCCGAGGCGTGAGGGATTAAAAATCTGAATCTTTTTCACAGATGTCAGGTAGGACGTCCAGTTGTAGTAGGGTCAGTCACCGAGAGGAGGGGGAGATTATTGTGCAGCGTTTACACGTGGCGGCCATGCATCCCACAAGTTCGACTGCAGCACTTTGACGACTGGAATTCCGAGGCAGAAGGAAGTGTCACCTGAGCATAGACTGATTTATATGAAGCAGGGGCATACCTCAATGAAAATCTCATCGTAAACATTTAAAATGTTTATAAATGCACCCTTCATTCTACGAGCGCATTGTAAACTTGCACAATAAGGGACCTTCAAACCTAAGCCCACAATTGTCATGGTTCACTTGTGCTCTCTTCCTGGAGTAAAGTCAGCGAAAGTGCTGCTCCACTTTGACATCGCAGCGTGCAGAAAATGACAGCTGCAGTGGCGCTGGCACGTGGGGTCACGGCGGAGCCAGTAGGGGGACTGCCACCCAAGTCCCGCGTCTTGAGATGTTAAGGTGTGGACGCCATGTCCACCTGAGCTGTTCTTCTCTCGATTTTTGCTCGTGTTCCAAACCCAGATTCCAACCTGGCTGCTGAAGCAATCTCTTGCCCAATGTTCGTGACATTTGGACACGACAGGACATGAACTCTGTTAAAGTTCGGCTGCGCACTCGGCACATCCGCTCGAAAAGGGCCTTGGCAGCTACCATTTCAGTTGAGGAATAAAGTGTAATGTTTATGTGTTAAAATCCTATTTTGGCTGCCAAATCACGCATTTAAGCAAAACAATGTACACGTTTTTGGGTTGTTCCTATAAATGTAAATTTTAAAGTGACCCTACTTTGATTGAGACGAATGCAGAAGTGGTTGTAGACCGTTGCGTGTAACGGTCGCTCCAGCTGGAGCCGGGGGATAAGCGTGTGGTGTAGCCCGGCGTGTAACTTTTTCAGATATTTTGAATTCACTTGACTTCGATGTAAGATAGCTGACACGAATCGTTTTTATTTGTAGGATACGGCTGGGCATACGGGTTTGCTTGAAGTTTTATTCAGCGGCAAGTTTACCATTTGTAAAATACTGATGACGTGAGACAGTGGCTGCAGGCGGCGTAACGCTGGCTAAGGCCTGGCAGCCCGCGTGAGGGCTTAGAGGCGCGTGGTGCATGCGCAGCGTTCACAGGCCGACAACGGGCGATGCACGCCCAGCAAGCTCACTAGGCACTCTACGAGGTCGCATCACTGTTTTACGTTGCAAAACGCCGGCTATCTTTGGCCAATAAATCCATAGGTTGGTGTGTGACCCCTTTAGGGGGGGCTAAATGGGGGCTCGTGCACATCAACTCTGTTAGAATGTCCACAATCGACTGTCCGTCTTTGACAGTGACGACACATTGCCCTCTCACCCCCCCCCCCCCCCCCATGCGTCCCTTGGATCTTCACAGTCTGAAGGTGATGAGACTCCGAGTCGCTGGTTACTATGGGGGTGACACTTGGAGCTGTTATCGCCCTCTTGTCGCCTGTAGAAAGTTCCACATGCAACCTCAACTTCTGTGTCTGTCATAAGTCTCATAATTGCACTTTTTAGCGAGTGTATTCTAAAGCCTTGACTGTTTCAATAATCCCATCTGCAGATATAAAAATCTATGCATCTTGCACAGTGTTTCGTGAACGTCGTGAGTGGAAACCTGCAGAAGCACGTCTGGACATGGTGCCCCCTTGCACGAAGCCTGGCCTTGATGAGTCTGCAGTAGAGAACGTCATCATTGGTGTTGCGTCTACTCTCAAGCATGGCCAGTCACTCAACATTGGTTGTTACTAAAATGTTGAAATTAAATTAAATTTTAAAGTAGCTGGGGAGGTGGCTGGGTGAGTTGGGGGCTCAATTATTGTACCAGATTAACGAGGCATCACAGCCAGGATCCTGGGTTCTAACTCGGGACGTGTCTCCTACTGTGTTCACGGTGGCTGAGCTGCCTCGAGTGTGGACATTGACATGAGTCGGATAATGTTAGATGGCCAATGACGGCACAACATTTCACCGATTGTTTTAGTTCACTCAGTTCAAGCCACCACTTGATGCGTGAAATTGATGAATGTCGGTTATTTGACCACATATTACAGAACATGAAGGTGTGTTCTATTAGTTTCAAGTTTATTTTGTTTAAGCAGGTAAGATTTCAAGAGACCAGCATGAGTCTCATTTACAAGAATGACCCGGGGCATTAGTCGGCCAGTAGGGGATAATGATTGATATGTATAGTTCCAATTGAGTAATTTGCGGGTTATGTTTAAATTTGACAAATGTGGACTCTGACGTCCACTGTGAAGCAGACGGTCCGTAGTATTTTGACGGTCATTACAACCGCAGGAATAATCAGGACTGTTGCTGGATTTGAACCATGAACCTTTGCAACAAACATGAAACGCGCTACAGTTGGTATTCTTCACCACCCATGGCCTCGTGACGAGTCACTCCACTGGCTTGGTGTCGTCATTCTCCGTGGGCATTCCTTGGCCTGACACGAGCCTCGGCTGATGGAGGCAGTTCTTAAATCACGTTCATTCGATATCGGACTCCCGACAGCGCAATTGGGATAAAATTAGTGACAAAATGTAGACATTACACTGGGTTACGCTGCTGTAGGATTCCATTATCAGATGTTTAGATTTTAGATTTGAAGATTTCGTGACTGCAAGTATTCATATTCTTAGGTTTTTTCGGTAAAGTCACGTAGGTAAAAAATTAAAATTAATAAAAATAAAATAAAAATAAAAATCACGACGTTTCAGAGGCAACACAAGCGTCCGTCTTCAGGTGGAACCGTCAAGTAAATTTACTTGATGCAGCTGTCGTGCTGTGACGGTTCCACCTGAAGACGGAAGCTTGTGTTGCCTCCGAAACGTGATTTTTATTTTATTTTTATTTTACTTTTATTAATTAAATTTTTTATTTTTTACCTACGTGACTTTACCGAAAAAACCTAAGAATATGTTTAGATTTACCACGCATGGCTGCCCTGCATGGCTATGCTGTGACCGGGCCGGAACGATGAACCACAAGCAACTCAGAGCTGCCCACATAAAGCCTTCCTACATATTGCAACGTCCATCCCGTGTTTTGGTATTGAATTTAGAATGTATATTTGCGCCTTGGGTTGTGATTGGGTTGGCATCTCATAAAAATGAAATTACTACATCACACCACCAACAAAAAAAAGTACAATTCATGAGCAGTTTCAACCACGTTTTACACGGAGTGCCGGAGCGATGATGCACGTCTAATCCAGTTACAAAGTAGTCAGGTTGGTGAATTACACGGGTGAACTCGTGATGATGTGCAAAAAATACCCCCACTTCATCGGCTTGAAGGCAATTTCTCTTAAGGGGCAGTACAGAAAATGGTTTGAGCGTTCTTCCCATGTGGATTTTCTCTGGGTGCTGTTTTCACACGCATACAATGTTATCGAAGGATTTGTCAAAAATCCCAAAACCCTTCTGAATGGTAATCTAGAAGCCTTAGCAATGTTTTTTTTTAGTTAAGAATTCCAATTATTCAAGGTCAAGAGGTCATCGCGACAGGTGCCACTAATATCACCATACATCGCAATTGCTTCCGCTAATTACTACAGTTGCTGTCGAGTCGACATCTGACCATCAAGGTCACCGACCTCTGCGCGCCATAACGATGCCTATCTCGGTAACTGGCCCTTCTGCACCCTCCGCACGCTTCCTACCCATCTTCGTTACATCTACCACACCGTTCCCTTGTTTTAAACCAAATTTAAAAGTTTCTCACCCTATTCTTCTGAGACATTCTTGGCAGCATCTGCATGCACGTGTATTAAAAGGCCAGAAGGTTATTTTATGGTTGGCTTTCAATGGACAAATCCCTGACCCATACATTAACGTTGACATTACTGCTACCTCAAACACTCATCTGCTAACACTAAGGCTGACAGCTCTACCCTTCCAACGTGGTTTATCTTGTCCTTAAAACACTGCCACTACCAGACATCTCATCAATTCTATATCACGACACCCTGTTTTAAGCCAAAACAGATTGCTGTCAATTCACTGTCACCAGCTATACACTCGGTGTGTTCATGGCAAAGATGGACAGATTGCTGTCAGTCATCCAAATGGGCAATCGGCAGGTGTGGCACTTGTGCAGACAGTTCGGTCAACTTGTCACTTGGGCCATCAAATAATCGATGAGAGCCACGGCGCTGAGAAACGTGCTCTGAGAAGAGTGAGACCCTGTGCTGAGTGAGCTGTGGGCTGGAACTCGTGGCAGAAGTTGATCGAAGTGAATGAAGGGGGGGGGGGGGATATTAATTAGCAAAATAATTGTCGAACAATTTACAAACGTTGCTGTTATTTCTCACTACAGCTGCACAGGAATGTGTCCTCATAGCTTGAAGTATCAATTCTTATCCACACCCACGAACACATTTCTAGAGACTCATCCGTGTTACTATTTATTCAATATTAATTAAAACTCACTAGCATTATTATTATGTAACTTGAGTCAGCAAGCATCTCCACGACACTGATATCACTCGGTGCAGCAAATGGTTGGATCGTAATATGCCACGTCAAAGTACCGGAGGCGGCTTCCGCGCATCAAAGCCGGTGTCCAAAGTTTAGAGTAGAAACATTTCTGTAGGAATCGGTTTCATTTTGTCACCGTAGCATAGATATTGCGATATTGAAACAAATTAAAGGGTACTTAAATTTTGATTTAAAGCTTTCGTGACTGCAGGGATCATATTCTTGGTTCTTTCGGTAAAGTCACGTAGAAGGGAGATAATAAAATAATATATATATAAAACAATAAAAATTCTCACGTTTCGACTGCAACACAAGCAATCATCATCAGGTGTGAAATCCACAGCAAGAAAAATGTGAAAAATGTTCTCCCTTCTACATGACTTTACCGAAAGAACCAAGAATATAAAGGGTACTTGTTTGGGTTGATCCTATGGTTTTGACCTCTTGGCTTTACTGGACCTGGTGAACCCAGCGAGGACGGTTTGCGGTGAAGAGGGAGCACGCCGGCCAAGGAGCAGAAGAGAGTTGGGGGCATCGGCCGCACCACGCGGTGCGTTAAGTTGGAGGTGCTTCTGTCTTGAGCGGAAGATGACCTCAACACTCATTATTTTGGCTGGTAAATTCAAAATTTTGCTCGTTGATAAAATTAGTATTCAATTGTGGAAGAAAAAATATCCTGCTGAAGTGTGATTACAGCGAACTTCGATATCTCCGAAGGGATTGGCCTCAAGCGTGTTGCTTTTGCTCCACCCGACATCATGCTCACTTTGAGAACACCCCTCCCGCTCCCGATGCAAGGTTTGACATTTTTGCTTCGGCCTTACCAGTTTTCCCTTCTCCCGATGGCTGGAGAGCCTGGTTTCCATTGCACAATCCTTTAAATTGTGGCAATTCAGCTTTTAACCAGAGACCCCTACAGGTTGTGCAGAGGGCTGTTTTCAGTCGCAGTACGAGAGTGGGATAGATCTGAGACTGACGATTGAGGATGCATGTTATATCGGTACACAGCTATTGTAGCGTCACACAACGAAATTGGACATCGGTTTTGATGTCATGCTTGTTCACTTCAAGTTTAAACGACTACACATGCTCAGCTTAGTTTTTTTCTCAGCAGCAGTGTTAAGAGGTTGGCTCGGGCATTTTTGGGTCCCAACGAGTTCACATGATGACCCGGCTTTGCATTTATAAATCTATTAAATGCGATGGCATCTCCGACCTTAAACCTTTACTCGGCGTTTGTGTTGAGGCTAAGCGAAACAGCAGGATTATTGTCCGTGGTGTTTGTTGCGATTTCCAGTCGTTGCATCGCTGCCTACGTTAACGATCGCAATTTTATGTAAACGTCGTTGCTTGCAACATAGCTGCTCCAGCTGAAGGCCATGAACCCAAAAGGCCGAGCTCATGGGGCCGGATAACCCCCTCCCCCGTCCAAGGGTCTCGCTTGTGTACCACGGCAGCACTAGCGAGACCTCGGCATGAGACTCCAGGCTGCTCACATCTGCTCTTAAATTCAGACATCGCAGAAATGCTGAATAAAGTTAAATTAGAAACGAACTTTTACATTGTTTTTATTCAATTGAAAATACTTCAAACGTGTTTGTGTGTAATTCAATGTTGGTATGTTTTGCAGGAACCAAACTCTTTTCACTTGAGTAGATGTGCTTTGGGGAGTTGTGAATGGGTTTTTATTTACCATGGTTCTCATTGATGACACTTTCAATTTCAGCAACTCTGAGCAAAGAGGAGTGTTGCCTGTAGCAGGTGCAGCAAGCAGGTATATTATGCAAGGCTGCCTTCCAATAAACTGGTCACTTGCTCTTATGTATGGTTATTTTTCGGGAATCATTCCTCCTGAATATAAATATAAAAATGGGTAAATATTCCAAACAGGACCCATCTGAACGAGTGGTAAAAGTTCGGGTAGCCTTCAATTGGTAAATAGTTTTAAATGTTAATTGAGTTTTGGGAGCTCTTTAATGTTCAAGTGAAAGAAATATGGTTTCTTTAGTTCTAAAACATAATTGAAACACTTTATTCGAGGTATACATTTGGCATGTTGAGTTCTGCACCCATCTCGACATAATCCAAAACCCCAATCTCGCGAGTACCTAAGCACGAGGAGCAATTCACCATCACAACCAAACTGCAAGTTGCACGGAGGAGTGTGGCGCTTAATGCTGCGGAGGCCTGTTGTATATGTTGGTTATGAAAATTTGTTATGTTGTATGCGTGCGTGGGTGAAATTATTATGTTGTATATGTGGGTTATGAATATTCAGTGGAAATAATAATAATTAAATGAAATTTGGCCAAATGTGTAATTATCCGGAAATATGTTAATTTATGTAATTACGCACATTTTAATTATGCCAATTCGAGAGGTAATCGTATTAATTATGCGAGTGGGTGTAATTATGATAACGCAAGTCGTTATGATAACCAGACCCCGGTTCACCCCGTTATCGCTTTAACATTTACTGAGTATGTATTAGTGTGTTTATTAAGGTCACCAAGTTCAAATCTCAACGCAGAAGCAGATCTTATGCATAGATTTCAGGAAAGAATCACACAACCACTTCTGTATTGATCAATTTATTACTAATTCAACCTTAACTATGATATAGTATGCGAACTCTCAATCCCGGAACGTCAATACGGCATCAATACAGTATCATCAACGATTGTCGGATTTCACTTCGACAACTGCACATGGATCCCGCATAACGCGATGGTTGTTAGTGAGAGAGAGAGTCGTTAAAACGTGCAAATACTATGCTAAGAAAACCTTAACGTTAATAAATGATTATACTCAATATTGTTCACGCAGTACCGCACTCCTTATTGATCATACGCAACCCTTATCACGTTGTTAACACCTTGGGTCACGGAACAGTTGAATATTCTGTAGAGGATGCGAGTACGTGCGGCGATTATGACTGAAAGATACTTGAAAGATTATACGGCGATAAAAAAAAACACAATCAAAACAGTTACTATTCTTAAAGGCACCAATCTCAACAGATACATCGGCAGGTTATCTGACAGCAGAACGGCTCGGAGTAAGGGCCTGCGACGGTGCTCCTTTTCCGAAGATCGTTATCTTATACCAAGTTTACTAATTGGGGACCAGATCACCTGATAAGGATCCGGTGGCCACCACTCCCCACGTGAGCGTGGCTC